ATAAATGGATATCCATGGTACTGCCATTCAGTGGTGACTAACATGATGGGCACAGAGCAGGTTTTTATAAGAATGAAAACTAGACATCAAAAAAATATTGCTGCCATTTTGGAAACCATTGACTTAGTTTAAAAAAAGTACAGATCATCTTTCCGCAAATAGACCTCAATATTAAATAGTTAACAACACTGTGTCACAGACAATGCTACCTATCTGGCACCAAAACGGTTACTTGTAATATGTGCTTTTATTGAGATCCACTATAGGTCTCCCCAAAAGTTTCTCTAACACTAATGTCACTGATACTGACCCTTCTTAGTTGCCTCTTATACATATTATATGCCCTCAGATGCCAGGATTATGGAATAAAGACACATCTGTAATGTATATGAAAAAAGCTTTGTGAACAGAGTATTAATAACAAAAAAAAACAATATTATTATAGTGAGAAAACAGTTACAGTAGAGAATGGGTGGAGTACATGATGCCATAGACAAGCGAATAAAAAAATCTGTCAATAGATTGCAGTGCTGGGATATATAGAGTAATTATTCTATACGCCCTAAGTGCCCTATGCCGCCGCTGGTTTTTCTTGTGTTAGGACTAAGAACAGCTGAAGAATTGCTAGATGCCCAATTATAGCCCAAGTAGTAGAAGATATTTTCGTTGCATTGCAGTGCTGGAAACGTACGACCTCTTAATGAGAATTTAAATCTTCACATTGTGCATAAAGCAACCTCCCTTTGCTGGGCAGCCCTGCATCACTGTACAAGATGTGTTTATAGGTATTATTATTATTAGAATGCAATCTATGTCAGCCTTATAATTAGCATTGCCATACCTTAACTATAAAATTCTACTTGCAAGACTGCCATAGAAATATCATATTCCAAATGCCCAAACACTCTTAGGTTTTTAACCTTTTCTGAGAGGCACACAAATTATGTCCATAAACATTGTGACCCATTCTTCATTTGTAATATACTGTATTATATGCTAAATCTCTGCAAAACATCTTCACCATGTGTCTCCATTGTGTTCTGAACGACAACATTTTTATAGTAAACAATTAAGTGCATGGGATATAAAAAAAAATAGCACAGGAATACCTCCCCAAACTGTGAGGTTTTAATTTATAACATGTTTGGGCAGGCCTATAGCATCACTGATGACACCCAGATTTGCATTCTTGCCTGGAAAGAGGGATGGCTGCCCAAAGAAGGGGCTTTCATCCTGGCATGAATGCATGCAAGACTGACAGCCTCCTGGGCTGACGCCACTCAGGGCATACCATGTAGAGAGCATGCTACAGTGCTCAATGCGTGGTCCTAGTGGCCTCAGCACTACGCAAGCTCATTAAATTAAGCACTTGTGCTGCATCGAGGAACCGAAGAAACAACCCAGGACAGGGGGACACAAGCCCAAAATTGGGGTAGTGATGCCAAATCTGAGACTGTTGGGAGACATGCGCAGGAATCCAGTCTTTTACACTGGACCAGCAGTTAAGTCTATATGTTATGTTGTTAAAGAGATAGATGATTAATTGTGAAACTTACCCAATGCATGCAATATGAATATGGCTACATGTATACAACATTGGAGAAAGCAGCAACCATGTAATTTTAGACTTTTATGATATGGATGTTGCCTATATATACGTGTCGCTGATGTCTGTACATTTGGCAAATATATTTAGATCAAGTTTCCTCAAGTTTCCTTACTCTTGATATTTCAGCACATCGTTTATTCCTAAACTGACCGATGGTGCCTTTCTCCTATACAGATTGGCTATAAAATAAATTGCAGCATTTCTCAGGCCTTGTTGCTGATTACTGTTAGTTCCTATCATTGCATGGGACTATCAGGACCTCTCACAACTAATGGAAACCAGTTGCTCCATTTCTCTTTTAAATCACCAGTCACTAAATGCATGCAGACACCTTGCTCAGCCTAAATCGAAGTCAATCTGTGCCTGCTAGGGTTTGCACATAGAATGCTAGTGATGGTTACTCTTTGTCACAGCAGCTAGTACATACTAACTTTATGTTCTGCTGAGCGAGATGATCGGCTAGTCTAGCATTTTGGAAATTGTCATGTTGAACTATGCCATTAAAATGCTTTGCATTTGCCTTGTGATATGCTGAAAGTATTCTGTTCTGAAATGTGACTGATCAGACTCACATCTTTTTGAGAGTGGATTTTTTTTTAACCCGCTTAATGCATTGCATGTATTTAAACAATACAAAGAAATGCTTTAATATTTAATTGTTGTCATGATTTTTAATGATTATAAATAAAATATTCTTTAAACAAGCTATAAGTTATCTTCAATAGTGAATCATTGAGAAAAGTGTTACAATATAATTACACACCTCTGAACTTTGTCTTCCTTTTGAAGCGGGAAACTGATGGAAATGGTAAAAGGGAGTAGGCCTGTGATGCAAATTATGACACTGGCTCCACCCAAAGGTTGTGGGTCCACCTGAAGAATTGACAGGCCAGCCTGGAATGAAGGCACGCAAGGCAGCCTGACAACCAAGAAGGATGACCCAATGAGATTAGATCATGAAGGGTGCGCTGGTTCTGTGCTCTCTACTGGGTCCTAATGCCTGAACATAGCACTAGTTAGTCTAATAATGTCTTGCGCTATGCCTGTTTGGGATAGTTTTTGTAGCCACCAGGACGCCAAGTCGGAACATTGGATCAGAACACAAAAACTAGTACTGTCCCGCAGAAATCAGGAAGGTTTTGAGGCCAAAAATAAAAATAGCTCTTTTAAAATAGGAGAACCAGTTGGGGCGTGAAACATTATATTGCATATTCCCATAACATGTAAATATTGTGCCATGCTGTCATAACATTTACTACCCTTTTAAATATATATAAATGCACTAATTGTCTCCTTGACCAATATGCAAATGTTCGTGAATTGTAAGAGCTTTTCATCCCTATATATTTTACTCTTTCCAAGAAAAAGAACCATTGAAAATATTCTCTAATAGCTTTGTTATAAATAATAAACGCAGTGGACTATAGAGAAACATCTTGAAAGATTGAAAAATCAGAGACACTCGGGCAATGGGTAGTGTAAATAAAAAAGCAGCCATAGTGATGGGAGAATCTTTTGTCTTTGTTACAATCTGCTACGTCATTGAACTGGGGAAAACTACTAATTACTGTGAAATAACAAATAAACAGGGCCCCCTCTACATGTATGGTGGATACTTCTCTAGGCACTTGAATTATAAGAGAGCAAGGCACTTGAATTATAATTTTAAAATAAGTGTAAGAAAATTAGCAAAAAAAAAAGAAATGATGTAAAGACAAGATATATGCTTAGAGCTTGCTTAGCACTGTTCGTTTGTGACAAGCATTACATTATATATAGACCCTAATTTAATATTTTTTTATAAACCTTAAATTTTTTTCAAAATATTAAAAGATAAAAAAAATATTTAAAAAATTGTGTTTCAATATATTGAATCATTTTAAACCTGTATCCAAAAGTATTAAATTAAGGGCAAGGCCATAGCGTCAAAATACAGTGAAAAATTAATTCTAAATAACATTTGTACGGCCATGAATGTAGAGTATGGTTTCTGTGTACATACACCAATACCAGTATAAATAAAGTGAAAAAAGGAGTGTAAATAAATGTATACTGAACTAAACACTGGGACGCTATACACCAACACTATTTAACAGCTGTATATATTCCTAAATAACGCTGGCTGACTCCATTTTGATTATATAAATGATATAGAAGGAGAGACACTAAGGCAGCCTATGAAACATTTTAATATTGACAAAAATTAATGAGATAAAATAAACTTACATATTTTGGCACAATATAAATAATCTAAAACCTGGGGATAACGTCACACTGAAGTGGGATACAATGAAACGCGTTGAGCAGAGCAGTACTTTATGGCCTACTCTTTTATGTGAACTGTACTTTTATTCCTTCATCCTACAAGGAACTCCGAACTTACAGACAACACTATTATTGTCTCGCCTTCTATATCTTGTAAATGATTGGCTGCAAAAGCAGGCATTCAGTGCTGTTTTAGTATTTGTCAGAGTGTATACTCATGCTGTTTTGCACAGTACAATATCTGTACATATTCTGTACACATATCTAGGCAGTGTACATTCTATCATAGTATAAGCCCAAAACACAGAAAAATGATATACAAACTCAATGCACAAGTAGCACAGAGCCAAAGGAGTCATATTATGTGTACTGTAATAATGAGCAAGCTAGGCCTGCAAACCCATACCAAATCTATACCTTTACCATGGCTGCAAAAATCCACAACCTACTAACTGCGGCACTGGGAAAGTGTCAGCAGCACAGTGTGTCCACATTCTATCAATTTAGAAATATGCCCTAATTTCCATAATATATATGGCTGCAGCAGCAGGCGCAAAAGCTAAGTGGCTCATGAAACATTACTGTGTCATGCACGATAAAATGAATTAGAATAATGGAACTAAAGAGCTATCAGCTATAAAGAGGATTACATAAATTGTTATAGTTTCTGTTATATTAGTATTACGGTGTGCTACCAAGTGTAGCTAATGGGTTACTAAACGATATGCTTTGCATACATAATGTAGAATAAAAGCCTTTCTGCTTGCAACAGTGTGTCTGAAGTACTACATTGTTAATATCATTTAAAGAAGAAATAGTATATATTTTACAAGCCTTATAATTTTTAAAAGGAGATTGTCAGGTTTATTCACTGAACCGGGAATTGTTGGGAATATGCCAGGAAATTACAAAGATAATAGCAAAAAAATAAAATAAAAAAATAAATAAATAAATAAAAAAAAAAAAAGCTCAGCTCCTTTGGACAAAGATTGGAAATAACCTGGTTCGTTCCCAACAACTGACAGTTTATTGAATACAACTGTCGATAGTTACAGGTTACTGTGTTTCATAATGGCACGTAATTACCTTTGTATTTTTGTAATTAAGCATACTTCTGGAGACCCACATTATTTATATCTGCTAAAAAAAAATTAAGAGGATGATGTATTCCTCACCCTATAGTGCTAAAAACCACAATCTAGATGCCCTGGCCCCCCTAAGTATAGTAAAATCTTACTTTTGTTCAAGTCTGCAGCTGCTGGTTCTGGCCCCTGATCTGCCTGCTTGGCTGACATCATAAGAAGTGTTGTTCTGAGCCAATCTCTATGTTTTTCCACAGGATTTGCTGAGACTGTCAAGAAGGTAGATCAGGGGTAGAGCCAGCACAGGTCAAACACAGCCCTGGCCAATCAGCATGTCCTCATACACATGCATTGAATCAATGTATCTCTGAGAAAAATTCAGTGTCTCCATGCAGTGAATGCACTGCCCCAGGAAGCACCTCTAGTAGCTATCTGAGGAGTGGCCAGTGGAGTTATCACGTGGCTGTAATGTAAACACAGCATTTTATCTGAAAAGACAGTGTTTACTGCATAAAGCCTAGAGGGAATGATTATACTCACCAGAACCAATACAATGAGCTGGAGCTGGTCACTATAATGTCCCTTTAAAGGCACAGTCCAGGCTGCCGATGACCCCATTTTAAATGCATTATGATGCATTAAAATGTGATTAAATACAACTGGAAATAATAATTTAATTACTATGAAATGTAATTAAATCACCTGTTTGGCTGAGTTGGTGAGAGCTCAATGCACAAGTGTCAAAGCTTGGAGACGTGTGACAAATGCACTGCATACGATTGTCCAATTTATTTATTTTTATTTAAATCATTGTGTTTCCTTATATTTTATATTTTTGTTTTTTTTAACAAACAACTCGGGAAAGCAGATCAAGACACTATATTAAATGTTGGATAGATATAACTCCTACTTCAGCTAAAACCTGGCATTCCCAAACTAGAACGGAGAGTCAATACAATTGGCATAACACCCCCCAAAAAAGGGGGGCAGAAAGAAAAGAAGAGCTTGCATTCAGTAGAAAAAAAAATAATGGTTGCAAAAATAAATGGCACACAAAAATAGGATAGCACAAACCCAAAAGTACTAAAACAGGAGAGCTGCCTAATGCATTTTGTGCCTAGCGTGGCTTTCCTTTGAAACTGTGTAGATTCACTTAAGGCAGCATCATTGGGGCATTATTAGCCAACCCACAACAAGAGACTGTGCCTGAATAATGTCAATTCTGTGCATATTCCTATGCACAGAAATTCATTAATTGGCTGAGAGCAGATGTAAATCAGCACTCCAGGAGATTAGGCGTTTGGTGATTTGCTTAAGAGGACAAAATGTTGGAAAATGGTTTGGCCCCATTACTGGGAAAGAATTCAGGGTACTCACCCTACAGAGCAATGAGTGACCTGAACAAAGGAAGATGCTTTAACAACAAGAAATTCTGTAATACGGTAGAAATGGTATTAACATGCTATAATTTGAGGGTACATAGAATTCTTTGCATCATAGAGGCCATACTTGCAAAATACTTTAACAATTGAGCTGGGGAACACAATTTCCTGTGCCTGCAGTTCGTAGCCAAGGCAGAGATCTCTTGAAAGGGGTCTAAAATAAAATTAAAATCTCTGCACAAGAGCAACACACCTTGTTGTACTTTTTCCACTTTTGAAAGGAAGCATTAAAGAAAGTTCTTCGGGAATTATGCCTGAACAAATATATAGCGCAAATTCAAGGTTTTGTTTACGTTTTGATTTGATCACAACTTGTACAATTGGCTCAGTCCTAAAGGGGTTAAGATAACAGCATATTTACATATAAATAGCAGTTATATTGTTCTTTGCATTATATGGGTTTGCAATACTTCATACCAGTTTAAAAAATAATAATCTACTGATCTCCACCTGTGTTAAAGGGTTGCCTACCCTACTTGCATATTAATGCTGGTAGCTGCCTGCAATGTGCTACAGTGGCCTGGCTTAGTGGTTTTAATTGGCCCTTTAAGGGAATTTGATTCTGCATTTAAAATCTGCATTCCCCAAACTTCCCTCAGATCCCTTACAAATACCCACAGCTAAATATGTAGCCAATTTTAAATAGTATATACGCATCTGCGAATTTAAAAAAAAAAAAATGTTTTAAACCTGTATGGAATACTGCAAAAAAAAAATAAAAAATAAAAAATAAGCATTTGCAAGGGATCTGTGGGAAGTTTGGGGAATGCAGATTTTAAAAGCAGAATCAAATTCCTTTAAAGGGCCAATTAAAACCACTAAGCCAGGCCACAGTAGAGCATTGCAGGCAGCTACCAATATTAATATGCAGGTAGGCAGCACCCCTTTAACACAGGTTTAGATCAGTGTTATAGCTCAGTATACCCATGACTGTCTGTGGTCTGGATAACTCATTATAATCAGAGCCAGGGGTGACAAGTATAGTTATGTTAGATTATAAAGGGTTGGGTGGGTCTGGCTCACAGGGGGGTTTATAAATCCCATCAACAATGATTTAAATAAACATGAACACTGCAGAGTCCTATTCAGTGCAGCCCTGTCTGACAAAACTGTATAATTTTAAAGGTGCCTCCAGCTCTATGAATGACCTAACATATTCCTGTTTTACCTGTCCTATATTTATATGGCAATGCTGCGTGCCGAACTCAAGCGATACAAAGTCACAACCAATTAAAACATTGTCTTTTTTTTTTTTTTTTTTTCTCTTCAGAACCAGAGGGTGCCAGCCGCCCTGCTGTGACTTCCGCCAACCCCAAGATGGCTGCCGTAAGTCCTACTAACCTTTCAGCGCGCGTGTGACGCCATCAAAGCGCGTCACGAATGGCAGCTTGGAGACTCCTAACAGCAACGAGTGTGGAGTGAATAGTGCAGGCAGGCGGTGTGGTGCGGATGAGAAAATATTTATTGTTACAGATACGAAGGGAAACGACTATTTACACCTAGTGTTGGTTGTTGCTGCCACACAATAAAGTGTTCTCCCCTTCAGGTGTTGCTTATGTACCATCACCCTAATCCTTGGAGATGAGCACACAAGTGAGTCTGCTGATTAACATTCACTTGCTATCTGTGCTGGATAATTGTCGTTATTTGGTGTGTGTGTAATAATGTTTTCCTTAATTCTTTTATCCCTGCAGTATAGCATCCTCTTCAAGCAAGAGCAAGGTGAGTGAACCAATATATGAATAAACAATTTTATGTCTGATACATTTTATGAATATTGCCGTGAGCGCATAATAAATGCAGAAGAATCTAATGTTTTTTCAATTTACCTAAAGGAACACTATAGCGTTAGTATATACTGTAGTGCCCTAGTCGTTGTTTAGGTGCCCATGCAAGAGCTGCCGTATATTTAAATGGCAATGCTGCGTGCCGAACTCAATCGATAGAAAGTCACAACCAATTAAAACATTGGCTTTTTTTTCATAACCAGAGGGTGCCAGCCGCCCTGGTGGGATTTCCGCCAACCCCAAGATGGCTAGTGTGCATGCACAGGAAACACCATGGTGTGCCAAACAGTATCTCTAAGATTATCTAATTTTTGCCTACTTTTTGTCTGGTAAATCACAGAAGGGCCATTAGTAGCTGTCAGTATGACAGTGTTCCTTTAACAAAATATAGCATTTTAAAGGGACCCTCTAGGCACCAAAACAATATTGGATTAATAAAGCAGTTTTGGTGTATAGATCATGTCCCTGCAGTCTCAGTGCCCAATTTTCTTCCATTTAGAAGGCAAATCAATGTGTTCATGGGTGTAATTGTTCAAAGGACACTATAGTCACCAGAACAATTACAAATTATTGCATTTGTTCTGGTGAGTAGAATCATTCCCTTAAGGCTTTTTGCTGTAAATACTGCTTATTTCAGAGAAAATGCAGTGTTTACATTACAGCCTAGTGATAACTCCACTGGCCACTTCTCAGATGGCTGTTAGAGGTGCTTACTGGGAGAGTACTGCACAGTGAACAGCACTGCCATTCAATGTCTCCATCCTTTGCATGCAGACACTGAAACAGGTGGGCTAGATGGTGGTTTTAACACTATAGGGTCAGGAATACATGTTTGTGTTCCTTTCAATTAACAGAGAAAACAAGAACTTCTAAAGTAAACACCTTGTGCTGTTGGATCTGGCTAAGGCAGCAGAAATAGAAACAAAAGGAATTTAAAGGACAACTGTCACCTCAAACCTGTTTTTTGTTAAATGCAGTATATGTAATGAGAAAAACGTATCCCTACCTTTTAATATATGACCGGACCTTTCAGCCACATACATGCATCAGTCACAATCCGATATCAAGACACACTGCAACTATTACTCACAAGTAGTGATGTCCCGAACGGTTCGCCGTGGACAGTGAACATATGCGGTAAACTTTGACCATGTACCTCACAGTCAGCAGACACATTCCAGCCAATCAGCGGCAGACCCTCCCTCCCAGACCCTCCCACCTCCTGGACAGCATCCATTTTACATTCATTGTGAAGCTGCATTCTTAGTGAGCTGTCTAGGAGGTGGGAGGGTCTGGGAGGGAGGGTCTGCTGCTGATTGGCTGGAATGTGTCTGCTGACTTTGAGGTACAGGGTCAAAGTTTACCGCATATGTTCGCCGTCCGCGGCGAACCGTTTGGCACATCACTACTCACAAGTCATGTATATACTTGAGTCGCCTGTTGCTCCAGATTTAGCTCAATCTGCTATCTCTTTTTAAAATTTTGTTTGCACAGTACAACCAGAAGCACACTTTTAAATATCCTTTATTTCAACCTTGTAGCCCATGAAGATGCCATATGGTCAGTAGGCTGGGGCAAGAATGCAAACGATGGCTCGGAGTTGGTGATCAGTGGTTCTCTGGACGACCTAGTTAAAGTCTGGAAATGGTGAGATCATTGTGGTGGATTGTGTCTCGTCATTTCATTTCTTTTTGTTTTTCTGTAAAGCTTGCAGGTGGGTCTTGGTGGTATTCTACCCAAAAAGAACATGCTATGTTGTAGGTCCCACTGTCATAAACACAGCTGAGCCCTAACAGCACCGAGTAAGCAGCTTTTGATTCAAAACCTGGCTGCAGAAAGATAAACTACAAACAGGTAGTTTCAAACTGAATTTCATCTTTAAGGCCAAAGTAGCTGAACTGAAAAATTTAGAGAATTTTTGCAATTCAACTATTTTCACCTTAAATTTAAAATTAATTTTAGTGAATAACCCTTCAAATGTTAGATGTAACCCAGCATATTGTTATTAAAGGAACACCCCAGTCAGCTTGCCTAAGTGCCTTATGTGTCTGGAGTCTGTCATTGTTACTACATTTTATAAAAGAGCCAATTTTAATAGAAGTCATCAGTTTTATAATTGGGGCAGAAATGCCTCCCTGGCTGTCACCCAGAAAGGAGGCGCCAAGGAGATTTTTCTTTTCCGCATAGCCATCTTGTCAACGATCTGTACTACAGCTCATTGAGAAGCAGTGCAAAGACATGATCACAGGCTACAGACAGGTCTGTAGATTTTGTAAGCTATTTTTGTTTTCATGTACCCCAAAAGAAAGCATGCAGAAGAAAATACATGCATGTTTTCTTTGGGAAAATATCTACTAGTAAACGGTTTAAAAAAAAAACAAAACACAAAATGGTTTTAATGGAGTGTTCCTTTAACTCCAATAGAAAGCAGGCAATTAGAAACTACCTAAATTAAAGGGACACTATAGGCACCCAGACCATTGCTGCTCATTGAAGTGGTCTGGGTGCAGTGTCCCAGGTCCCTTAATCCTGCATAGGTAATTATTGCAGTTTTTAAGAAACTGCAATAATTAGCTTGTTGGGTTAACCCCACCTCTAGTGTCTACCAGACAGCCACTAGAGGGACTTTCTGGCTGGTTGGCGATTTTTGACCTAACTGACGCTAGACATGCTCACGTTATGCATGAGGATGTCCAGGATCACTCGCATCCCAATAGGAAAGCATTGTATAATGATTTCCTATGGGGGAAATCCTAATGGATTGATGTCGGCGGGGGAGGAGCAAAAGCTATAGTGCCAGGCAAACAGCTGTTTTTCAAACAACTGTTTTCCTGACACTACAGTTTCCCTTTAAGTTTTAAATCTGGATGGGGCCAGGCATAACACAAGGACCTGTTTCATCTCAAATTTTAAAAATGTGAAACAGGTGTTATGGGAACATATGTTGAATGACAATAGAGCATAAAAGGTTGATATTGGAAATATTTTATTAGAAATGTCTAGAAATCCTGTTCTTAAAAGAAAACTGCATTACAAAAAAATTACTATTTAGTAGATATACCCCAATAAACATGTATTTATTTGTAAAAGCAATTTTTTTTTTTTTAAATATTGCGCGTGCATCTGAAAACAGCTTGCAAAATATGCAGATCTCTTGTCCTCTCCCTTTGCAAGCTCTCCCTATATTCCCTGGCACAGACTTTGTCTTGAGAAGCCTTTTGATTTTGAACCGAGATCTTGGGAGACGAGGATGCAATGGTAAAATGGGTCGTGTGAGCGCAAGGACACATTGTGACTTTTGGGAGAAGGCCATTTCCATCGGCTCTAATGGAATCGGAAGTAGTATCCCTGTGTGTCTGACATCCAGAGTGGCATTTCTGCAGTGATTTATAAAATTGCCAGTTTAGAATAGAACTATGCCTCCAGCGTCGCAGATGCGCCTTTAGTGGCTGTCCGGAAGACAGCCACTAGAGGCTGGCTTAACCCCAATGTTTGCATCTGACGGGTTAAAACCTGAGGGACCTGGCACCCAGACCACTTCATTGAGCTGAAGTGGTCTGGGTGACTATAGTGTCCCTTTAAGCAAGCTGAAGTGCTCTATGTGTTTAGAGTGGTCATTTTAAAGGGGGACTTCATGATGTAGTTCGCTCCCCGTTTAATACATTCTGGCGAAATTACATAAACTCCAAAATATACACTAGTTTTCAGAAACCAAGGACCATCTTCTGTTTCTTTCTTTTTAGTAAACTCACTATGCATCAGTTCATGCATATTACTGCAGTAGAGCATAATGGCTTTTACATTGGAACATGTTTAATTGTATAACATGATCTTGGGTTTTTATAGTTTGTTTCCCAGTCTTGTGTAATTCACTTCTCTGCTTGGCAGACTGGTACACTCTCTATAGCAGCCTGTGTATTATTTTGATTATCACATATTCCATCTTTAGGACGGACGAGCGCCTGGATTTGCAGTGGTCTCTGGAAGGGCACCAGCTAGGAGTGGTATCTGTGGATGTCAGTGCATCTGGTAATATTTTGGCTTCCAGCTCACTAGATGCTCACATTCGTCTCTGGGACCTTGATAGCGGCAAGCAGATCCGTTCTATCGATGCTGGACCAGGTAAACCATTAACTGAATAGAATAATTTACTTTCATTTGGTTTTCCCCTTTCTCCTCTCTGTTCACAGTAGGAATTTTAAATGTAAGATTCTTCAGAATATATATTTAATTATTTGAATATGCTTATCTTAAATCTAAATGTGTGTGTGTGTGTGTGTGTGTGTGTGTGTATATATATATATATATATATATATATATTTATATATATATATTTATTTATTTTTTGGTTTGCACTTAATCTCTTGTAGATGGAATGGGCAAACTAATATTTTTAAGTGGTCAATAATTTGAAATTGTGTTGTCTAGTTTTGTAATGCTGCATACAGTTTTTGGCATTTGTGTAGTACTCCAAGTCTATTACATTGAGATACCTGTAATATATTGGTGGTACAATGTTCATGGTGTAGCCAACAGGTAAGTGAATTAAAATCAATGTGTTCTTTCTGTAGTGCAGCTGATCCTTTTTCTATGGCATATTTGCACTGCATTCTTATTTATTCTATTTTATCTGTAGTGGATGCGTGGTCTGTAGCCTTTTCACCTGACTCCCAACACTTGGCAACTGGGAGCCATGTCGGGAAAGTAAACATCTTTGGTGTGGAGACCGGGAAGAAGGAATTTTCCCTGGACACTAGAGGCAAATTTATTCTCAGCATTGCATACGTAAGTCTTTAAAATCAAAGGTTTTTAACTACTAATAAACAAACAAGTGCTTTACACTGAAATATTCTGTATTAGTTCACTGGACAGTGAAATGTGGTGACTGACAAGGTAATACAATATATTTAGCTACGGATCACTGATCTGAGAGTGTGTGTTTTGGTAACATTTTGAAATGTCCTTGTCAATTCAGCATGATTAGCGAATAAACCTAGTGTTGTGTGTTCTCTTCGTGTTTAACTCTGTTTATTTTATATCTTTCTGTTTCACAAAAGAGTCCAGACGGCAAATATTTGGCTAGTGGAGCCATTGATGGGATCATTAATATCTTTGATATTGCAACTGGTAAACTCCTCCACACGCTGGAAGGTAAGAAGGTCCTTGCTCCAGCAGAGAGAACATTTTTATTAACACTTTGAGTGGCAGATGTGTTATGCGGTGGATAAGATATTTTCAGTATTCCTTTTGAAAACAATGGACTTTCAATATCCGTTTGTCCGCTTATGTCAAACTGTTGTGACTATCATTACTTTATACGGTGTGTGTATGTATATCTGTGTTCAGCTGTAAATTCTATCTTGGTCTGTTTTCTCTATGCAGAGTACTTTACACTGATCTAGAGTATAGTACAGTTATTTTATTCGCCAAACTTTTGATACATGATATTGTGTAGTTAGGATTTTGTGGTTTGGGGGGGGGACTCTTTTTTTGTCTTTTAAGAAACCATATGTGTGAGTGCATTAAATGAGAGAATTATGGATGAACAACCACATGGCAAAATTAAAAAAGACTATGGTTCTAAAGATACAGTATATGGTGTGATTGCAGATAGTAGTAGTAGAAAAGTGTATTTATTACAAACCCAGTTATCTGTGTGTGGTTTGCATCTGATCCTTCATTAAAAAAAAAAAAAGTAATTTTAAGATGCTTTAAAAGCTTTTGTACAGTATTAAAAATGACGTGAAGCCCACCATATCTCTTCATGTTTTTTCCGTTTATATTTATTCTAGGACATGCCATGCCTATTAGGTCCTTGACCTTCTCTCCTGACTCACAGCTGCTAGTCACGGCCTCTGATGATGGATATATCAAAATCTATGATGTGTAAGTGTGTGTATATTTTTTTTTTTTTATCTGAAAGCACTGCATATTTCCAACAGCTACCATTTCTTCTATGTTGGCTGAGAATATTATTAAACCTCTATGTGTTAATTTAAAGGGACACACTAAGCCTGAAAACCACTACAGCTGAAGCATGCTTAAGTGTTTTACACTTAAAAAAAAAAAAAAATTACAAATTTTTTGGCCACATTCCATATTTTTACATATATGGTTTGACTTCTATGTATATGCTCTTATCGTTTACACTTTGAAGCCTTACGGTTTCCTTATAATTGTCCACAGAACGTGCAGACCAGTTTAATACTCCCCCAACTGTTCTTGCTCTATAAATTATCTTGTTACAGTGTGACTAGGACTAGTAGTTTAGATGACATTGATTAGGTTAATCTAAACATGTATTTCTTTTGCCAGACAACATGCCAGCCTAGCTGCCACTCTCAGTGGACACGGGTCCTGGGTACTAAATGTTGCCTTCTCTCCTGATGATGCACATTTTGTTTCCAGGTAAGACTCCATATGGAGTATAACATTTTGCAGTATCCTGAGTAAGAATAGATATACTTGTATAATTGCATTAAATAGCAGGTGCTCTAACATCTATATTGTGATTTTCTTAGTTCTTCTGACAAAAGTGTCAAAGTTTGGGATGTTGCCACCAGGACATGCGTTCATACATTTGTGGATCACCAAGACCAGGTGAGTTGTGTAAATCATGATGTAATGCTTTAATGGGGTTAGAAATTCTATTGGGAGATTAGAATAACTGATTTTAACCAGCATGGCTTGTACTGAGACAACCAGTTGCTATTTTTTTCTTTTCACTTGTTGCTTTATGCCAATATGGCATGTCAAAAAGAAATTAATGTATATCTTTATTTCAGCTATGTTATTTACTGTATACACTTTTAGTTATCACATTAGAGTAATGCATAACTTAAATCTAAAATGACCAGTCCATTTTAGAAAAAAATAAATTTGTATCCTCTAGCAGAGTGGTAGTCAAACTTCCTTCAGCTTTCAGATATTGTGGTCTACAATAATACTGGTAAAGAATCAGGGGAGAGGTAGTCCACATCTGGAGTGCCGAAGGTTGTCTAAATCTGTATAATGGGACACTACAATGTACATCCTGTAGCTGTACAAAGATAAGGTCAATAAAATGTGATTTCTTCTATTAGTCTCCAAGCTAATGCTTTGATTGCCTTTTAGGTTTGGGGTGTGCAGTACAACAAAAATGGATCCAAAATAGTCTCTGTTGGAGATGATCAAGAAATTCATGTCTATGACTGTCCTATATAATTGCCTTAAATCTGAGTTGAAACCTGCAGATGGGAACATACTATTGCTCCACCTTCTTTAACACAATGACTGCATGTTGAATATGCAAAGTCAACTCTTCAACAAGATATTTAAATTAACAATCTGGATGTTCTCTTATTATGAGAGATTTGCTTTAAAGATGAAGGTGTAGTCACACTCTGAAGGAACTGATTGACTCCTGTGAATTCTTCTTTCACTGAAATTGAGTATTCCCATTGTAACTATAAAAGTTCCAGAAATTTGATTTTGTACAACTTTACCCCTGGGATTATTAAATATTTTACTTTTCTTGAGCTTTATTGAATGTTATTTTACGCATTAAAGTTAATTTTATTTTTATATAGCGTTGGTCTGATGGGACATGGTGGTCACTTGGTGCAGTAAGGTAGATCCCATATAAATGTGCAGGCAGGATGTTCACGTGTGGTACCAGCCGGGTTCGCTAAAGTACAATAAGACATGATCTGGGGAAAGACTAAACTCATTGAGGAATGACAGGGGATTAATGTGGAGTGGTTTTGGGGCACTCTTTTTCTGCAGAAAAATAGAGAATGACAAACATACAAACATATTTTGGAGACTTGCAGCAGAGGAGTTGGGGATAATAGTTGCCAGACAAGCAGAGCATGGAATAATTTGAATACTCGAGGTGCCACAGTATTTGTGGTCTCTCAGGCTAACAAACTGTGACTGTGGTGCCCCTGGAGGCAGTTGCAAGTAGTCCTTAGCAGCAGTGTAGTCTTAGAGACGAGAGTCTGTGACTATTACAGGGTTATTCACTTAATTGTGAATTTTTAGGAATCAAGTGAATAATTCTAGGCCAAAGCTCAGGGTTATTCACGTAAAGGGACACTATAGTAACCAGAACAACTACAGCTTAATGTAGTGGTTCTGGTGACTATAGCCTGTGCCTCCAGGCTTTTTAATGTAAACATTCCTTTTTCAGAGAAAAGGCAGTGTTTGCATTACATTACTGTCAAGTAACAGCTCTAGTGTCAGTCACTCAGCCACTAGAGGTGCCTCCTGTGTCAGTGCTGCACAGTGTGCAGTACTGGTGTTCACTGTCTTCATGCTGAATGCTCTCCACAGAGATGCGTTGATTCAATGCATCTCTATGAGGAGATGCTGATTGGTGCACAGCAGTGTTTGGCCATGCATGCACAAGAGGCTGCCAGTGCTTTCCTATTTGAAAGCATTGGATTGGCTGAGATCGTAAAATTTGAACTAGTACTATACTGACTGGAAAAGTTATCGTTTTGGCCTAAAGTTTAAAATTTTCTTTGAATTCTTGACAATTTACACTTGAAAGAATAACCCTGAGCTAACGTTGATAATACAAATTGAAATATTTTCTGATATGTTAAATGTGTTTTTGAATTCTTTGCAATTCAAATTTAAAGGGACAGACACTATAGTCACCAGAACTACTACAGCTTAATGTAGTTGTTCTGGTGAGTATGGTCAGTCTGCAGCCTTTTTGCAGTAAACACTGTCTTTTCATGGATAATCGTGTTTACATTACAGCCTATGGACAACTCCAGTGCTGCACTGACATTGAGTGACTCCACCCTCCTCATGGAGACACTGACCCATCTTCATAGAGATGCATTGATTCATTGCATCTCCATGAGTAGATGCTGATTGGCCAGGGTGGCGTTTAGCTTTGACCCAGGCCTCCTTGGCAGAGATTATCAGAAGTGATGATCTCGGCCAATAACATTGCTTTCCCAAAGGAGATCTGTGCATGACTGCCTGGGTTAAGTTCCCTCTCACTGTATTTGTCATTTTGATGGCTCTGTGTCAGACCCATACCGCGTATACAGTGTGAGGAGAGTATCTACTTAGAGACATCCGAGTTGGAGCATCCACAGTTTGGTACATTGCTCAGACCAAATTGCCCCACACCATCAGACTGCGGGCTCTTCTGTAAGAAGCTGTATGTATCTGTGTTGGTGTTTTAATATGTTCAGTATCAGTTCTTTCTGCATAGGTAGAGATCCATTTTTTTTTTTTTTGTGGAGGCCAACTGGATATGTATACTAAGGTTTCTTTTACCACAATGGCCACTGCTCTTTTAGGTGCTGGAGGTGGTTGAGTTTTTTTTGTTTGTTTTTTTTTAGCTGGCCCCTCTTAGCTTATCACAGTTGCCCCTTGCTGGTATGAATTGGTATTGTGAGCTGCAAGAAAAACCTGTTCAGTGTTAACTTTAATTTTTTTAATGATTTAATTTAACACTGAATGGAGAGATCATGCCAAGTCATTGATTAGATTAGATAATATGGTTATAGTGCCTTTACTGATCCTTTAGCTACAAATTCTAAATATAGCATGTACTATAAGATACGTAAATGAAAGCCTATATTAGGGAAAAAATGCCTTTAACATGATGAGGTTGTTGATGGGGTCTTCAGATTCCCCCATGGCATTATTACCTCATAATATCTTATGTTACACCAGGAAACATGGTCAGCTATGGACTAGTGACCCTGTTCTGTAAGGTTTTGTAAGTCCGGGATAGAAGTAAAGTTGCATTTTATACGGAGTTTAACACTTCTGCCAGACGTATCACTGGGGCGTCATTAGCCAGCACGGAACCAGAATTCTATTAAAGTTTTTTGTCTGATAGCAAATGGTGGCATATGCCACCCAAGTCCTGCCCTATGCCAGTTTTCTGTCCCCTCCTGACAAGGTGAAGTAAAATCTTTTGAAGGAGGATTGGGCTACAGGGGAAACTGGAACAGAAGGCTTTTTTGGGTGTTTTGACAAATATAGGAATGATTTTCATAACCAAAAATATTTTCTTAAAACACTACTTTTGGTTAGAGTAACCCTTTAAATATCTGGGTTTGTGGAATTGCCCAAATCGTTTTCAAAGGACATTCCAGACAAAACATTCTGTCAAATTGAGGGGGATGTTGCTTTGCATGGGTAAGTAGCTTTCTGTTCTATACTAAGAAAAAAGAAACTGCAGGAAAGCGGTGTGCTAATAACTAAGCATAACAAAATGCACACATTACACTTTGTCCATTTACATTTGAACATAATCAATGTAGACTGGTGTTTGCACAGCATTTAGAAATAACCCACTGCTTGATTAACACACTGGCAACACCAGGCCAGTGCAATGAACCCCCCACAACCACAACATAAATGTTCAGATTTTTTTCCTTCCATTATTAATCAGCACAGTTGCACATTACTCATCAAACTGTTTAAGTCCCAGATATGACACTGTTGCACATAGAAGGCTCCTCAATAAACTGCAATTTTTAAGTTTGGATTCCAATATTGTAGAATGGGTAAGGCAGTGGCTAAATGACAGGCAACAGAGGGTTGTAGTTAATGGAATATATTCGAAGCTTGGCTTGTCACCAGTGGGGTACCTCAAGGATCTGTACTTGGACCCATTCTCTTTAATATTTTTATTAGTGATATTGCAGAAGGTCTTGATGGTAAGGTAAGTCTTTTTGCTGATGATACTAAGATATGTAACAGGGTTGATGTTCCAGGAGGGATAAGCCAAATTGCAAATGATTTAGGTAAATTAGAAAAATGGTCAGAGTTGTGGCAACTGACATTTAATGTGGAAAAGTGCAAGATAATGCATCTTGGACGTAAAAACTCAAGGGCAGAGTACAGAATATTTAATACAGTCCTAACCTAAACATCTGAGGAAAGGGATTTAGGGGTGATTATTTCTGATTACTTAAAGGACCACTATAGTGCCAGGAAAACATACTCCCGCCCGGCTCTGGAAGGGGGAAAGGGGTAAAAACTTACCTTTTTCCAGCGCTGGGCGGGGAGCTCTCCTCCTTCTCTCCGCCCCGCCGGCTGAATGCGCACGCGCGGCAAGAGCTGCGCGCGCATTCAGCCGGTCGCATAGGAAAGCATTTACAATGCTTTCCTATGGACGCTGGCGTGCTCTCACTGTAAAAATCACAGTGAGAAGCACGCAAGCGCCTCTAGTGGCTGTCAATGAGACAGCCACTAGAGGAAATAGGGGAAGGCTTAACCCATTCATAAACATAGCAGTTTCTCTGAAACTGCTATGTTTATGAAAAAATGAGTTAACCCTAGAAGGACCTGGCACCCAGACCACTTCATTAAGCTGAAGTGGTCTGGGTGCCTAGAGTGGTCCTTTAAAGGTAGGCAGACAATGTAATAGAGCAGCAGGAAATGCTAGCAGAATGCTTGGTTGTATAGAGAGGTATTAGCAGTAGAAAGAGGGAAGTGATCATGCCATTGTACAGAACACTGGTGAGACCTCACTTGGGATATTGTACGCAGTACTGGAGACCGTATCTCCAGAAGGATATTGATACTTTAAAGAGAGTTCAGAGAAGGGCTACTAAACTGGTTCATGAATTGCAGGATAAAACTTATAAGGAAAGGTTAAAGGATCACTATAGTGTCAGGAAAACAAACTTGTTTTCCTAACACTATAGCATCCTTAGGACCCCCCCTATCCTCAGGATCCCTTGGCATTGAAGGGGTTAAAACCCTTTCAGCCATTTAGCTTTATCGAGCGCCGGGCTCCCTCGGCGCTGGTGACCTCTCCTCCTCCGCCAGCTCCCAAATGGAGCAGAATGCGCATGCGCGGCAAGAGCCGTGTGCGCATGCATTCAAACAGTCCATAGGAAAGCATTTCTCAATGCTTTCCTATAGACGTTTTGCACGCTGGATGCGAATTTCGCATCCAGTGTTGCAGAAGTGCCTCTAGCGGCAATAGTGTCCCTTTAAAGGAACTTAACATTTATAGCTTGGAGGAAAGACGAGACGGGGGGATATGATAGAAACATTTAAAGGACCACTATAGTGCCAGGAAAACAAACTTGTTTTCCTGGCACTATATAGTCTTTAGGTTAAAACCCCTTCAGCCACTTACCTTAATCCAGTGCCGGGCTCCATCGACGCTGGTGACCTCTCCTCCCCCGCCGATGTTTTAACCCCTTCAGCCCAGCGGGGTGGGGGGGTCTAATCACCCTATAGTGCCAGGAAAACGAGTTTGTTTTCCTGGCACTATAGTGGTCCTTTAAATTCAAGGGGCAAATGTTTAAAAATAATATCAGGAAGTATTACTTTACTGAGAGGGTAGTGGATGCATGGAATAGTCTTCTGGCTGAATTTGTAGAGGTTAACACAGTAAAGGAGTTTAAGCATGCGTGGGATAGGCAAAAGGCTAACTATAAGATAAGGCTAGGGTCTAATGAAAGTATTTAGAAAATTGGGCAGACTAGATGGGCCGAATGGTTCTTATCTGCCATTGCATTCTATGTTTCTAGATATATCCATGGGCAGCACTACAGATGGGTATAGTTCCTCCCACTCCTAAATTAGATAGGTACACATCGTCATTAAACAATAAAAGCAACTCCTTCCTCTAAACCCTCAGTCTTTCAGTCCACATCAATTTGACTCCGGATGCTTTGCAACTTATTTTTATTTTTTGGTATACACATGCATATAGTACCCACTGTACCATAAGGGGAATTCACCCTCTATCCCCATGGAATCCATAGGACACGGCGCCTCGCCAAGAGCACCCCCTTTATGATTCTTCCTTAGCAACCTGTGAGACAGGCTGCAAGGACACGTTAGGTATTTGCTGGATGTGACAGTGGTAATTCCCTTCTAAGTTTTTGGATTCTCCTGACCAGTTTTCCTTTAATCTGTGTAGCCGCAATAAGAATTTTTGTAATCAACCAGGTGTTCCTTTCAGTCACTTTACTGCAGGTTGGTTCCTTTTTCTGTTTCTTACCATTATTCTTTTTTTTTTTTTGCATATGTTTAACTTTTATTTTTTCTTCAGGGTTTTTCCTTTTCTGAAGTTTATGGTAGTTGGTAAAAGTTAAAGGACCACTCTAGGCACCCAGATCACTTCAGCTTAATGAAGTGGTCTGGGTGCCAGGTCCAGCTAGGGTTAACCCATTTTTTCATAAACATAGTTTCAGAGAAACTGCTATGTTTGTGAATGGGTTAAGCCTTCCCCTATTTCCTCTAGTGGCTGTCTCATTGACAGCCACTAGAGGCGCTTGCTTGCTTCTCACTGTGATTTTCACAGTGAGAGCACGCAAGCGTCCATAGGAAAGCATTCTGAATGCTTTCCTATGTGACCGGCTGAATGCGCGCGCAGCTCTTGCCGCGTGTGCGCATTCAGCTGACGGGGAGGAGAAGAGGAGGATCGGAGGAGGAGAGCTCTCCGCCCAGCGCTGGAAAAAGGTAAGTTTTTAACCCCTTTCCCCCTTCCAGAGCCGGGCGGGAGGGGGTCCCTGAGGGTGGGGGCACCCTCAGGGCACTATAGTGGTCCTTTAAGTATGGTTGTTGGATCTGTATTCCCTTATGTATATGTTTTACATTAGCATTTCTTTATATTGTATATGTTTTTATATAGTCTGGTATATACCGTTTTGCTCTACTGATTTGTGGGGCAGCAGATCACTATTGTTCTAATCTCTAGCTGGAATTCTCTATTATTATTATTGCCATTTATGTAGCGCCAACAGATTCCGTAGCGCTTTACAGTATTTTGAGAGGGCGGCTTTAACTATAAATAGGACAATTACAAGAAAACTTACAGGAACAATAGGTTGAAGAGGACCCTCCTCAAACGAGCTTACAATCGATAGGAGATGGGCCATTAGACACATTAGTACATGAAACAGCAATCAAATATGGTGGGAGTGAAGTAGAGCTGGAGGAGAGAGTAAAGCACTGCCCTTTAGGAGAGAGCCAGAGACAGGTATGTGAGGTAGAGATTACTCTGGGAGGCCATAAGTTTTCATAAAGAGATGGGTTTTAAGGCACTTCTTGAACAATTGAAGACTAGGGAAGAGTCTGATGGTCATAGGTAGGCTATTGAATAGGAAGGGAGCTGCCCGCGAGAAGTCCTGAAAGTGTGAGTTGGCCATACGGGTGCGAGCAACGGACAGGAAAAGGTCACGGGCAGAGCGGAGAGACCGAGAAGAGGCATACCTATGGGTCTGTGAAGAAATATAAGAGGGGCTAGAATTGTTCAGTGCTTTATAGGTGTGGGTTAGCACTTTGAATTGACTCCTATAGGATACAGGAAGCCAATGTACGGACTGACAGAGGGGGGAGGTGTGAGAGGAGCGACAGGAGAGGAAAATCAGTCTGGCGGCAGCATTCATTACAGACTGTAGCGTGGCAATACGGCTTTTGGGAACACCAATTAGGAGAGGGATACAATAATCCATGCAGGAAATTACTAGAGCATGGACAAGCTCCTTGGTAGCATCTTGTGTAAAAAAGGGGCGGATGTGGGCTCTTCTTAATGGATTCCCACTACTCATTCTGTTTGGTATGTTAAGACTGGGTTTAACATTGGGTGTACAGTCTGAAGCCAGATATGTGATGTTGCAAATGCAATCACATAGAAGGGAGAGTCCAAAAGTTGTGTAGACCAGTAGGCAGGACTGCTATATATCACACGTTACCATAACTACTATGACAATGAAAATTCAGCTCCTCTCAATAATCCCATCAACATTTCAACTCCAGGTCATATAGCTCTAAATCCTGTACTGAACTAACCCACCCCTTGTACAATGGTATATTATAACCAAACCCCTTGAACCATGGTATATTATAACCCACCCATTGTACCATGGTATATTATAACCCCACTCCTTGTACCATGGTATCTTATATATTTCACCTCTTGTACATGGTATAACACCCTCCTCTTGTACCATGGCATATTATAACCCCACCCCTTTTGCCCTAGTATATAATTGTTATTTATATAGCGCCAACAAATTTGCAGCGCTTTACAGTGGATCATAACCCCACTCCTTGTACAATGATATATTATATCATTCACCCCTTGTACCATGGTATATTATAATCTAACCCCTTGTACCATGGTATATTATATCCCCCATCCTTTGTATCCTGGTACATTATATCTTTCACCCCTTGTACCATGGTGCATTATATCTTTCACTCCTTGTACCATGGTATATAATCTAACCCCTTGTACCATGGTATATTATATCCCCACCCCTTGTACCATGGTATATTATAACCCCACTCCTTGTACCATGGTATTTTATAATCTAACCCCTTGTACCATGGTATAGTATATCCCCCATCCTTTGTATCCTGGTACATTATATCTTTCACTCCTTGTACCATGGTATATAATCTAACCCCTTGTACCATGGTATATTATATCCTCACCCCTTGTACCATGGTATATTATATCCCCATCCTTTGTATCCTGGTACATTATATCTTTCACCCCTTGTACCATGGTATATTATATCCCCCATCCTTTGTATCCTGGTACATTATATCTTTCACGCCTTGTACCATGGTATATTATATCCCCCATCCTTTGTATCCTGGTACATTATATCTTTCACCCCTTGTACCATGGTATATCATATCCCCCATCCTTTGTATCCTGGTACATTATATCTTTCACCCCTTGTACCATGGTGCATTATATCTTTCACTCCTTGTACCATGGTATATAATCTAACCCCTTGTACCATGGTATATTATATCCCCACCCCTTGTACCATGGTATATTATAACCCCACTCCTTGTACCATGGTATATAATCTAACCCCTTGTACCATGGTATATTATATCCCCACCCCTTGTACCATGGTATATTATAACCCCACTCCTTGTACCATGGTATATAATCTAACCCCTTGTACCATGGTATATTATATCCCCACCCCTTGTACCATGGTATATTATAACCCCACTCCTTGTACCATGGTATATAATCTAACCCCTTGTACCATGGTATATTATATCCTCACCCCTTGTACCATGGTATATTATATCCCCATCCTTTGTATCCTGGTACATTATATCTTTCACCCCTTGTACCATGGCATCCCATATTTCCCTTTCACCCCTTGTACCGTTAATTATTATATCCCCACCCAGTATAATGTGCCTCGCTGTCAGCACAGTTTCCGATCTGATGATTTAGCCACGCCCCCACCTGCCGCACACGTGGAATCCCCGCCACGCAACAAGTCGCGGGGTCCTCACGGGCCAGGTTTAGTCGCCCTCGCTCTGCCTGTCAGCAATGAGTGGCACTATGTCTGCTCACCGCCGCTTTAGTTAACGCGGTGACGTGTTGTGTCAGTATACAATGCAGAAAGGGGAGAATGCTCCTCATTGTGAAGCCGTTTAAGTAGTCTGTGAAAGTGTCGGTTTAGCGGGCAGGCTCTCGGACACCCTAAACCGGGGCCTCGGGCTGTGCCAGTGTAGTCGGTGCTGCCGGTGTGAGGAGTGAGCTGGTAATGCCGAGCGATGGGGATTGTGGACCGGTAGCAGTGGGTGGGACACTGACTGGGTGTAATGATTGGGGAGACCAGCAGGTTTCCTGTGGCCCCTGGGTGTTGGGGGAGAATTGGTCCATTGACTATAGGAGGGAGGGAGGGAGGGAGAGAGAGAGAGAGAGAGAGAGAGAGAGAGAGAAATAGAAATAAATAAACCAGCTTTCTATCAGCTCACCTATCAGTGCTAAACAAGACTGTGTGAGTGGGACAGAATAAGACAGCGCTCTGTGAGTGGGACAATATTGGGCACAAACTTTCCTGGTCAATGGGAGATGGAAAGGGCTACTTTATAATTCTCAATAAAGTCTCCCTCTATTGGGGTTTTACTTTATTGGTAATTATATATCAAATTAGGGTTAGTCACTTTAATTGCTTGGTTGACCATTCATGTGCTACAGTTATTTTTCTCTGTTACAGTTATATTTATTAGTAGTAGTAGTAGTAGTAGTAGTAATAACAATAACATTATTATTATTATTATGATGTGCTACTTTGAAGTATGTAGTATTCATGTTCTGGTACTGTGGGAGGGAAATCAAGGCAGTTCATTAAACTGCTTTAAATTAACAGTTCACACTGTAGTGAATAATCTAGTGTGGGTTTGTTTTTGATTACTTAATTAATGTCCCCTCCTGCAGCGCTATGCTAATAATTATTTATACATACTGCTTGGAGGCACTTTGTATATGTTATCTGCCAGCATGATAGTGTAATGTGTACAGGAAAGTATGGTGGTTGTGGGGTTACATGCTGCGATACTGGCCATTAATAGCTTATACAGGATTCTTAAAAAGAAGAAAATTCTAAATACATATTTAATTAAAAAGGCCTTCTTTTTAGAACTGCATTCAAGCAAATCTGTCAAATATGAGCATATCTAACCAGAATTTAATTGTGTTGTGATTTTTAAAAAATTTTTTTTTTAATACATGCTCTGCTGGCATTGCATGTAAACTAATATAACCCCTGCTGTATGCATGGCCCGTACAACATTACTGAAGTAATGTCCAAACATGTATGCACTGTATGATCTTTCTCTGTATATGCCCTCATGAGTACACTCAAGGGGTTCGGAAATTACTGGTAGTGAGTTTTTACCTGCCTCTGATGCATTATTCACAACAATTAGGATCTTAATGTCTACTGGCGTGAGAGAACAAGGTACTGTGACTTCCAGAGTTTATTTAGGCTCTATCCTCTGGTAATATGTCAAACCATTTGACAGTGGCCTTGCTGTGTCTTAATTCATATATCATGCTAAATCATGACTGTTCTCTTATACCAGTCATTAATCGTTCACATATAGAATGTTGATGAATAAAAAACATTTTTTTTCAATACATTCAAATATTTTGCTCTGTACTACATGTACAAAATATAATCTTTTCATGAAATACCTATTTACATGCCATCAAATCTAGTGATTTAGAAACAAAGAATGTGACGGCAGATAAGAACCATTCTGCCCTATTTTTGAAATCCTTTTAATTAGTCCCTGGCCTTATCTTATAGCTAGGATAGCCTTATGCTATTAGGGCTTCATCCCTGGGCTATGTTAAAATATATAATGCTTTTATAACTACTCTTTCATGGATTGTACAAAGTACTAATCTATGCACTAACCATCCTAGCCTGTCATAAAGAGCCAATAAATATGGATTCTCATAATAATGATTTTAAGCAATTTAAAAAGACAATACAAGAATTAAATAAATACTATCACGACCACCTGTTCATTTCCCCCCATAATTATTGGATCTTGATCAGGATTTACTCACATTTTTGGAACACTTCCTTAGCTGCACTTGTTATCTGAATTTGCTGCACTCTGCCAGACCACTAGATTAACTCTGAAAATGCATTTTTCTAAAAAACATTTACCTCCACTAATAATCAGTGAAAATGAGCGTATTCATCGCCTGCTTGCCACTTTAGCCATTCCATCTCCTGGGAACATCTTTCCTTACAATCTATTCTTTTGTGCGTCCCGTTTATAGTTTGTTCAGTCTCTTCTTTCCTTTGAAACTCTAGATTATTTGTCAGCTGCAGCCCTAACTCCTTACTAAACCTTATGGTGATTGTAACTCACAAAAAAAGGATTCAAACTATCAATCGTTTGTACACCGGTATTTTAGTGAATATGGTATGCTCTGTTTTATGGCTCTATTTGCTATTTGCCCTATGTACAGTGCTGCTGTGATGAGCCATGCTTTATCAATGTGTTTGATAAACCTTGCTTGATTGGGTTCCCACACGATGTAGCAGGACTATTGTGAAAATAGGTTAACATGGCAATATCACTAAATGGGGCATAACAAGTGATTTCAAGGTAGTTAAATAATGGTGTAAACAAAATGTACATAGCTCTAATAGTTGTTTTTTTTTTCTTTTTATTATATATAAATATACATACTTACTGCTACTTTAGAAGCTTTTATACATTAAGGTGAACTGATCATTACAGCCTTATTATCTCTATCAGGCCATGATAATAATTTTGATGTATCTGAGTAAGAACACAAAACTGTTGGTACAGTACCTAAAATGCTTTATTATTTTAACCTGCAGCACAGTCGTTGCAGTGTGTACAAAGATGATGTCCCGGGCGTACAGCTGGCTGCTTCTTTCTTTTATCTTTGTGCCTTTCATCAGTTTTGTGTTTGCCAGGAGAGGGCAGGATTTACATTGTGGAGGTAAGATTTCAAGTAATTTTAAACTGCACATACGTCCTACGTTTGTTTGGGTTACTTTTTTCTTTTTTGTTAATATTAATATATAACATTGGCATTTAGTTAATAATCGAATAATTCCAAAATAATCTAGTTTATAGTTGACACAGTCTGCTGGAGTCTATTATCTAATTTTTCCGACACTTTATTATTATTATTATTAATAAAGGTTTGAGGCTTTAACATAAGACAATACAGATTATTGGAGAATCAATTACAAAAATAACAGGTATCCGTGTTTGTAATTAAAGGAACACTGAACATAAACATGCATTCCTGATCCTATAGTGTTAAAACACTACCTGGCCTCCCTAAATATAGTAACATCTTACTTGTGTTCAAGTCTGCAGTTGCTGCCTCTGCCCCTTATCTGTTTGCTTGGCCGACATCATGAGAAGTGATTCTGTGAGCCAATCACAATGCTTTCCTATAGTATTGGCTGAGACTGTCAAGGAGGCAGATCGGGGGCAGAGCCAGCACAAGTCAAACACAGATCTGCCCAATCAGCATCTCCTACTAGAGATGCATTGAATCAATGCATCTCTGTGAGGAAAGTTCAGTGTTTGCAAGCAGATGGGGGAGATACTGAATGGCGGTACTGCTCACTGTGCAGCAACGCCCCAGGAAGCACCTCTATTAGCCATCTGAGGAGTGGCTAGTGGAGTTATCACTAGGCTGTAATGTAAACATTGCATTTTCTCTGAAAAGACAGTATTTACTGCAAAAAGCCTGAAGAGAATGATTTTACTCACCAGAACAAATGCAATAAGATGTAGTTGTTCTGGTGACCATAGTGTCCCTTTAAAAAAAGTCATGGTACCATTGTTAAGCGTATAAAATACATAACATTATCTCCATTTTAGAAGATCACGGCACCTCTACATGGACCTTGATGGGCTCCGGTTCTAATACGCTTAGGACATAGATAAAGAGGTGGGAGAAAAAAAGGGGGATTTTTATAAAAGGGGAGAGAGTGGGAAGTTGGAAGGCAAGAGGAGGAATGGTTTAGTGGGAATTTGGGCAGACGCTTTGGATGACTCTCCGCACCTCTCATCCCAATTTGTTGCCTTGTCCAACACTTTAGAATTAAAACTCTAAAGTATTCAATAGGACTGAGAGGAATACTCCAGGCACATAAAGCACTTCATCCTCTTGTGTATTCCCTTGCACAGACTCCATGTCTGTGCCAGAAAAAGAGGGGACGACTAGCAAAGGCTGTAGACAACAGTTCTGAAGCATTTGAAAGTTATTTTTTTCATCTTTCCCTGAAGAAAACATGTTAAAAATAAATCCATGCATGTTTCTTTGGGAGTTTATCTATTACATTTTTTTAAAATTTTAATAATGTTCAATGGATTTCTCCTTGATGGCGTATGAGTGGGCATAGGAAATAAGAACTGTCAACTCTATAATGACTACATAATGTTTTCACATACATTTCTCTAGTGATGGTGTTCTTCCCTTGTGTTTGTTGTATGGGGCCTATATCCCTGTATATACTCTAGTATTTACTCTGCCTTGTCTTACTGCTGAGCATGCTATGAATGATTTTAATTAAAGGACCACTATAGTGCCAGGAAAACAAACTCTTTTTCCTGGCACTATAGTGCACTGAGGGTGCCCCCACCCTCAGGGTCCCACTCCCGTGGCGCTGAAGGGGGAGGAAGGTGTTAATCCCTTACCTTTTTTCCAGCGCTGGGCTCCCTCGGCGCTGGGACTCTCCTCCCTCTTCTGATGTCATCAGCTGAATGCGCATGCGCGGCAAGAGCCGCACCCGCATTCAGCCAGTCTTACAGGGAAGCATTCTCAATGCTTTCCTATGGACGCTGGCGTCTTCTCACTGTGAAAATCACAGTGAGAAGCGCGGAAGCGCCTCTAGCGGCTGTCAATGAGACAGCCACTAGAGGCTGGATTAACCCATATGTAAACATAGCAGTTTCTTTGAAACTGCTATGTTTACAGCAAGCAGGTTTAATCCTAGATGGACCAGGCACCCAGACCACTTCATTAAGCTGAAGTGGTCTGGGTGCCTATAATGGTCCTTTAAAGAGTGGAGAATTTTTTAAAATTTATTTATATATATTCCATATTAAAGGGACAACTCTAAGCACTAAAACCGCTTAAGTTTTTTATGGAGTGGTTTTGGTGTATAGATCATGCCCCTGCTTAAATGTAAGGGACATCCCCATTTCAGTCACATTATCAATGGCAAGTCTGTCCAACCAAGACATTAGTTGGCTGAGTGTGCTGTACTGATGCATACCTGCACACTTGATAATGCAGAAGTGTAAATTACATCTTATCAATGTGGCTGATACGTGCATGGGCACCTATAACAAACTGTTCCCTTTCTGTTTTTTTTTTTTTTTTATTCCTTCTTTAAACTGGGGGACAGCACCAGGGAATTCAAAGCAATGCAACTAATACAGGTAGCTGTAATGGTTATGTTGTGTAGAGTTCCCTTTTAATGGTTTCTCTACGTATTGGGCTAATATGGAGGAAAACAGTGCAAATGACCGAACACTCTGGTTGGATTCCAAGCCAACCAATCAGAGAACTTTGACGGGCTGCTCACTGTTTACTAGACATGCCCCTGCTCGCGAGATGGGGCAGATTAATTACTAATACTTCGTAATCTTTACTTGGTATTACTAAAGTTGGATGAAAGACCAATATTGTTCTTTCAGCCTTTTGGTAGATGGCTTTCTAATACCGTGGGAATTAGGTAGCTATCTACTAAGTGGCTGCAAGATGTGTCAGGATTTGTGTGTGTGTGTGTTGTCTATAGCCTACAACTGTCTTCACTCCTCCCGCGTGGAGAATGCTGTGTCAGAGCATTGCCATGGCAACATGCGGCAACGCTCCGCACACCATGATCGCAGAAGGAGTGCTCAGCCTCTCAGGTCCTCCAGCCCTCCCTGTCACTAATGGAGGGCCTTTGGACTGGTGAGGGAGATCTTGGATCTCACCAGCTCAAGAGGGCCAACAGCAAGAAAGCAAGTCTTCTCTGTTGGTCTGGACAGACACACACACACACAAACACACCTTTTCCAACTGCAGCAAGATCTGCTGCTTAGTGGTGGGGCGGAGCTTGAGCGGCAGGTGCTACTTGCATGTGTGGGTGGAGCTTACATCACGGGGCGGAGCCTGTGTGCCAGAGAAGCTGCTGGGAATTTGGAAGGGAGACGAAGTGCTCCAGCTGGCCCCAACAGCCTCAATGCAGATCCCAGCACCTCTGTACACTCCTCAGCAACTCCCAGCACCTCTCTCCTGTATTCCCTTGGACTTTAACAGGCTGTTACAGCCCGAGGGAATATAATAAAAGCACATGGCCCTGCAAGTTGCAGGATTTGCTCAAATGCAAAAGCAAGTTGTTTGTTTAGCCTACAGAAAAGCTACACTATAATTTAAACCGTCTACAGGTCTATGAGTTTGTGAACATCTGTGAGCATTGCACAGCTTTTATCCCGTGTACAATAATTCTGCTTTTTATCAAACCTGTTCTTCCAACCCTCCGTTTCCTCTCTCTCTCTCTTTTTTTTTTTTTTTGGTGTGTGTGTGTGCATCTCTAAGTTAACTTGATACAATATCCCCTTTCGTTTTTCCAGCATGCCGTGCACTTGTTGATGAGATAGAGTGGGAGATTTCACAAGTTGATCCCAAGAAGACAATCAAAAAAGGATCTTTCCGCATAAACCCAGATGGCACCCAGTCGGTAACAGAGGTATTCTAATAGTTTTTTTTTTTTTTTTGCCATTCAAGAGATGGTCATTGTAAAATGCATATACTGTTTGTTAGTGGCTGTCAATTGCATATCTTCTGTAATGAAATCCATTTTATTCCCTTGATACATGGCCCCAGGCTTGTAATGATACGCCATATATCATTTTGTGGACTTCAGTATTTTTCATCTTGGCCTTTGCATTTCAGTCACACACAGTTCTTAAGAAGGAATTTATGTCACAGTTATGTGCTACATACTCTTATTCGCACAAAGTTGAGTAACATTAAATTAGCGTTATTTGAGAACCACTTTTGTAAATATGGAAGTGATAATCCCTTATTCTTCCCAACCAGAGTAAATAATAGTGACACTCTTACTGGTGTTAATTGGCCAACAGAGAAGAGCACATGCAATGCAAGCTCTTAGTTAAAGGGACACTATAGCCATCAGAACAACTGCAGCTTATTGTATTTGTTCTAGTAAATATAATTATTATTTTTGCAGTAAACACTGTTTTGTTTTTTGTTTTGTTTTTTGCAGAGAAAGGCAGTGTTTACATTACAGCCTAGGGATACCTCCACTGGCCACTCCTTAGATGGCTACTAGAGATGCATCCTCTGCATAGAGTCACTGAACTTTCCTAATATAGTTGCATTGATTCAGTGCATCTCTGTGAGAAGATGCTGATTGGCCAGGGCTGTGTCTGATTTCTGCTGGCTCTGCCCCTAATCTGCCTCCTTGACAGTCTCGGCCAATCCAATGCTTTCCTATGAGAAAGCATTGAGATTAGCTCAGATCATAACATTTGATGTCAGCTAAGCAGGCAGAACAGGTGCACAGCCGGCACCAGCAGACAGGAAATATTTTACTATATTAACCCTTTAAGGACCGGCATGTTTTTGCGATGTTGTACGTTAAGGACCAGGCCTCTTTTTACACTCTTGTGGTGTTTGTGTTTAGCTGTAATTTTCCTCTCTCTCATTTACTGTTCCCATACAAGTTATATATTGGGGTTTTTTCAGGACAGAAATTGCTTTCTTTACATACCATTATTTATATAATCTCATGTAATTTAATTAAAAACTTTTTTTTTTATATATAAATATGACAAAAAATTGAAAAAAACTTTGTTTTTTTTTACTTTTACTTGAAAAATCTTTTACTCACCTACAAAAACTAATGAAAAAAACTGCTAAATAGATTCAAAATTTTGTCCTGAGTTTAAAAATACCCAGTGTTTACGTGCTTTTTTACTTTTTTTTTTGCTAGCTATAGGGTTATAAGTACAAGTAGGATATTGCGGTTTCAAAACATTGATTTTTTTTTTTTTGGATTTTTTTTGTTTTTTTTAAATGTATCAATAGTGACATTGTAACACTATTATCTGTCATAAATCTCTGGAAAACACCCCACATGCATTGGTTTGCCACAATTTTACAGTAACAAATTTTGGACTTGCCCAATTTGGCTGAATATAGTTTGCTTGCTTTGCTAGGCACATGTTGAGTGTGGTGCATTTTTCCATCCCCCAATGTGAATTTATGGATTTGAAAATATATATTTGTATAAAGTACACATCCAAGGTTTTGACTTCTTTTCCCCAACCATTTTGCCCCTAATATTCAGAGAAAGTGTGCGGTGGTAATTTTTTAATTCTGTTTTTTATTTATTTATTTTTTTTTTTTATTTATATACACACTTTTTGCTTTTAGATTTCGGCCACAATACTTTTTTAACCAAATGTGCAGGTATCAAATGCACCTTTAGCAGCAATCTCTGAACTAACTCCTGCAAAAAGAATCTAACTGGAGATTTGGGGAAAAGAAACTAACTAAATGTTCTGCTTTCAAAAGAAACAAAAAATAAAATTCAGGAACAAGTCTTACAAAAGGGTATGCTCTGTGTGGTAGAGCTTAAAACATGTTCCAATACATAATCTGGGTTTTGAAGGGCAATCGGGACAGTGAAAGGGGGTCTGTCCTTTTCCCTTTTTTGTAACAGACCCGGCAACATTTCTGGGGATTTGTTTTAGTTTCAGTAGGAGGATTTTAAAAATATAATGCGTAGCACCAATTCTTGATTCCTCTGGCACCGTTGTTGGAACTTCAACGGAACCATCTCCATAAATGATTGTTGAAATCACTTTTAGTTAAAATTGGAGAAAGGTGGTTCTTCCGGGATTCATTTAAAAAAAAAAAAAATAAAATAAAAAGTATAAACGAATTGTGGGTTGCTACTTGCATCAGCCACCTTTTTGTACCAGGCTTTAGTTCTTCTTAAAATAAGATACGGCTGCATGAGCTGATCAGCCAAATCTACACGCCCCATGTGCCTGTTATAAGCCCTGACGCAAACAGGTTTGGAATTTACTCTGCCTCTGACAGTGACGTCTGACATGCTTTCGTCATGGATGGTGGTTAGCATGTTAACATCCTTCCTGTCCTTAAATTTAATTGCAAGCACTTCAGCTTTGCGCAGAGCTTTGGATTGACTTTTTTTTGTTTGTTTTTTTTTTTTATTTGGCCTCTATGAGAGGTCTGGGGAAATCTTTGGAGTTTTTTTTCTAACAGTGCTGCAGGCCAGTGTCTGCAAACTATAAAGTGATTTAAATAAACGGACACTACTATAGAAATTGTCCACATAAAGGTGGTAATTCTTATTGAACAAGGGGGTCAGTAGGTCCCAAACAATTTTCCCAGAAAGTCAGAACAGCCAAGAGGGTCCGGTTGACCAACTTTCCCCTCATATACGCGAAAGGCAAACGTATAGCCACTTTCGCTCTCGCACAGTTTGTAAAACTTGACGCCATACCTAGCGCGCTTTGAGGGAATGTACTGTTTGAACCCCAATCTCCCTTTTATATTTCATAAGGGATTCATCAACAGATACATTTTGCTGGGCAGTATAAACGTCAGAAAATCTTTGCTGCAGATGGTCTATTAGTAGGCATATTTTGTGAAGCCTGTCATATTGGGGTTGATCTCTGGGGTGACAGAGGGTATTATCATTGAAATGCAAGTATCGTAGCACCAACTCATATCTTGCTCTAGACATTGTTTGGGAGTATATAGGACTAGAACAGATGGGGTTGGTGCTTCAGTAAGAGTGGATTGAGGGCTTCTTTATTATCCCCATGAGCATGGTAGGAGCCCAGCTTTTTTTTTTTGAGTTCAGGGACATCTGTGGGATGCCAAGCATGCTCCCTGACTACATAGCTACCTGAATTTGCATTAAAAAATTGGGTAGCATAGAGATTAGTCTGGGAAGCAATCTCCTCCCAGATTGTATCCTCCAAAAATAACTCCATATATTGCATAGCGGAGAAGTCCTGCACATTGATATTAATGCCTGCGTTGGCACTAAAAAGGGGGATTAACTGTGGAGGTACCCAGTCCTCCTCCACATTCGGCGTAGCAGATGAAGCACAGCTTCTTTTTACAGCCGATTCACAGACAGATGACGTGTCTCTAGACGTGTCGCTAAACTGACCTGGGTCAAAATCGGACGCAGTGTCAGTGGCGTCAGTCTGACGCCAAGAAGGCATATGCCTCCTCCAAGCTATACATGCGATGCATGTTTCACCAACACAAAACTAACAAATTTCTAACATAAAGTTTTTTGTTTTTTTTTTGTTTGTTTTTTTAAAATAGACTAAAACAGACTTTAGCGGCAATCCCTAAACTAACTCCTGCAAAGAGAATCTAATGGAGATTTGGGGGTAGGAAACTGTCAGGATTAAAGAATGATCCAGCACGTAGAATTGTATAACACAGAGGACTGATCGGTAACGTATACTGGACCTTAGAATGGTCGGACTAACATACCAAAGAATAGTCAGAAATAGCCGAGGTCAAGGGAAACAGAAAGAGAGACACAGCGATAAGGAAAAGCCAGGAGTCAGAGATGCCAGAAAACAGGGAAGTCAAAAACAATGCCAAAGTCAAATAACCAGAATTACCAGAATCAATAACACGCTCTCGGACAACCACAAGGGAAACCACGACAGGGCATTGAGCAAGATGAGAACGGGGCCTAAATACCCCTACTCTAGATCTGATAGGCTGTAACTGGCCTTTGACCCCAAAAGCAGTTACCAGGTTTCCATTTGCATAATTGCTGCTCAGCATTAACCCTTCTGTGGATTTGGTTGCTGCTCGGCACAAATTATCCTGTGTGGACAGTAAATGTCATTAACCACATTTTTATAAGTGTATGAATACGTGACAGAAACTGACTAAAGTTTGACGCTTATAAAAAATAAAAATAAAAAAATAAAAAAGTCTAAAACACCCTAAAAGAGACTAAAAACACTTTTCGACAAGAAAAAAAATCCTTAAGTGCAAAAAAAAAAAATTACACGGTACTAATGCACTGCTGTAATAGGACTTGGCAGGGAAGGGGTTAAAATGAATTAATTTTTTTTAACTTTTTTACAGGTTTTGATACTTCTAGCAACTCTTTCACACTGGCAACAAACTATCCGCTCTGATCTCTCTCTCTCTCGCCTCACAAAACGCTACAGAGGAGAGAGAGGCAGAGATCAGTGTCAAAGTGAGTGTTTGTAACACCCACTTTGACATCAGCCAATTGTGTGCGATCGCGGATCGCTCACATGCCGCAATTGGCTGTTACTATCTGCCTGGGATGCCGGGCAGATAGCAACACGGGATTTCGGCGGAAGCAATCTCTGATCGCTCCCGCCACCCGGTTTCTGTTATGACGGTTCAGGACCGTCACCGGTCCTCAACGGTATGTTACCGATGACGGTCCTGAACCGTCATCGGTCGGCAAGGGGTTAAAGGGGGCTAGATGGTGTTTTTGGTACTATGGGGTCCGGAGTACATGTTTGTGTTCCTGACCATATAGTGTTCCTTTAAAGGGACACTATAGTCACCAGAACAACTACAGCTTATTGCATTTATTTCTGGTGAGTAGAATCATTCCCTTCAGGCTTTTTGCTGTAAACTCTGTCTTTTCAGAGAAAATACAGTGTTTACTTTACAGCCTAGTGGTAACTCAACTGGCCACTCCTGGCTACTAGAGGTGCTTCCTGGGGTAGTGCTGCCTAGTGAGCAGCACTGCCATTCAGTGTATCCACCCTCTGCATGCAGGCACTGAACTTTCCTGATAGAGTTGCATTTATTCAATGTATCTGTATTAGGAGATGCTGATTGGCCAGGGCTGTGGTTGACCTATGCTGGATCTGCCTCCTTGTCAGTCTCAGCCAATCCTATGGGGAAGCATTGTGATTGGCTCAGACCACCACTTCTGATGATGTCAGCAGCTGCAGACTTGTTCCTTTAATTTAGATGATGGAAAAATAGCATTACTCATAAATTACTTTTAGTTGGGTACCTGTTAAAAAGGGAAGTCATAATTTGATTTAACCCTTTAAGGACTAAACTTCTGGAATAAAAGGGAATCATGACATGACATGTCACACATGTCATGTGTCCTTAAGGGGTTAAAAAAATTTTTTTTAAATAATGTTCTATTTTTTTGAAAGAATTACGCCAACCCTTTTCTATATTATTATATTAAGTCTTAATGTCCTGTTGGAAATTACTAATTGGAGTACCCTTTAATTTACAAAGTGTTCTGAAGAGTGCTATATGATAATTGTAAAATAAACGGCCAGATAGTTCAGAAAGCACATTATATTTAAGTATGGTTCAGAAAAGCCTTAATTTAAAGAATTTATTGGCAAATAAACTTTCACCAGTAGATGGCGCTGCGAGAATAAAGTTTGTCATGAATACAGTATTGAGCAATTCTACACATGTTTATATCTCTATTTAAAATAATACATAATTTTTTATTTTATTTTTTTAAATCTTTACACTTTATGATTAAACATCTCAAGCTCAACTCATTCTTGCTGTGTGTTTTAATATAACAGGTAAAGAATTTCAGATTTCTGAGAGGGTAGTGGATGCATGGAATAGCCTTCCAGCTGAAGTGGTAGAGGTTAACACAGTGAGGGAGTTTAAGCATGCTTGGGATAGGCATAAGGCTATCCTAGACTTAAGATAATGCCAGGGACTAATTAAAAGTATTTTGAAATATTGGGCAAACTAGATGGGCGAATGATTCTTACCTGCCATCACATTCAATGTTCTAGGTTTCTATTTGCTTTAGGTCAGGGCTGGGTACAAGAGTATCTTTTGAAAGTTGAAAAATAGTCAATGTCCAACACTTGTTGTTGTTTGGCATATAGAGAAACTACAGAAAATAACATATGTTTAAAGTTCCCTGCAGATGCTCTGTTCAGTCTCTTTGGGAAGCGCCTGTACCTATCCCATACGCCTCTGTCCAGCAGAATTTGTGTTTAAAAAAATAAATAAGTGTGTGTGTGTGTGTGTGTGTGTGTGTATGTATATGTATATGTGTATATATATATATATATATATATATATATATTACATTGAATGAAACTGCTGTGCAAACAGATATCGGCTGCACAACGGCTGTTATGAGTTTACACTAGACGTGTGCAAAAATTAGTTTTGTACATAAACTAATTAATCCAAATCCTTTTAATCCCCACCCGAATTAATTGATAAATTTGTGAAATAAATGGGCATATCACTTGGCTTAAATGTTGATTAAAAGTCTTTTGATTTTGGATGAATGAATCTGTTTTATGGATGAAATATTTATTTGGCACATGTCTAGTTCATGCACAGCCTAGTTCACTGTCTAGTCGTTTTGCAGCCATCAGCAGAGCTGGAGACCACTGTTCATCACTCTCTCAGGGGCGAGAAGTGCATACTACCTCCACACCTTTTTTGTTTGAAATATGGCACCCAGGAGTGAGCATTCTTGCTGCTCTGAGCTGCAGGTTTAGACTATATGGGCAGCAATTTATTTATTTTTTGTTAATAATTGGCTGCAGTTCTGAGGCACTTGTCTCCAAAACTATTGGTTCTGCTTTGGAATACGTCTCTCATGATTTTGTCACACTGTGCTCATTGCCAAAACATCTACGTTGGAGAGGAATCGATCTGTTCCTACAGTCCTCTAGCTAGAGTAAATCACATCATCTGTATGTGCTGTAGTAGGGTTCTTCTGCTCTATCCTGTCACTCATTTATAAAGATGTACACAGAAACTACAGGTAAGGGGTGCACCATAACTTTACATGAACTTTAAATAAATTCTAGACATTTACTAGCAGTTATATTTTATTTATTTTTTTTGTCCCTTAGCATGAGTAAGACCCAGTGAATGGACAAAAAAAAATTACAGTATACTTTTTATACAGCATTTTTAGTTATTTTTAAATACTCATTGTTGGCTAATCCTGACTAGAGATGTCGCGAACTGTTCGCGAACTGTCCGCCGGCGAACAATAGCGTGTTTGCGTTGGGCGAACATATCCGATTTCCGGTCCGCCCCCTATACGTCATCATTGAGTAAACTTTGACCCGGAACCTCACAGCCATCAGACACATTCCACCCAATCAGCAGCAGACCCTCCCTCCCAGGAAGTGTCTGCTGACTGTGAGGTTCCGGGTCAAAGTTTACTCAATGATGACGTGTAGGGGGCGGACCGGAAATCTGATATGTTCGCCCAACGCGAACACGCTATTGTTCGCCAGTGGACAGTTCGCGACATCTCTAATCCTGACTGGTTGTGTAGTATGTGTATAATTTTAATTCTGTGCATATGGACCTCTGATGTCGGCACGCACAGGTGTCCAATGGCAGCACCCCGTCCATGCTGCCCATTTTTGAAGTTGTTTTTGGTACTAGAACAGTTTACTTTTTTATTTTTAGGGTGAGCAGCACATCAAGGGTTACTGTAACAAGAAATGTTTTATGAAAAGGCTGTTTTTCGGTTTGTTTAAACCTTTATTATGCATAACGGTACTACCAGGCTGAAGATGACTATTTATTTCAGGTACCATATGCCCGCACAGAAGCTCATCTGATGGAATTACTTGAACGTGTGTGTGAGAAGATGAGAGATTATGGTGAGAAAACGGACTCAAACACTCAACGCAAAACGTATGTGCGTGTTTTATCCCGTGATGGAAAAACAATGGATGCTTCCAACACCAACCTTGACAGTGAAATGATATCCAACCTGAAATTTATGGTAAGCAAATTTTTCTGTAAATCTAATAAAATGTGTATACAATAATAAATAATGAAACGTGATTCTTTCCAGCTATTCTAGTACATGCAAGGGTTACATGCAAGTTCTTCCTAATATTACTAGTAAACGTGGAAAAAATTAGATCTGTGCTTCTAGTTGAAGAGTGCAGAAAATGTGCTACCAAGAATTTTTTTTTTTTTTTTTTGGAAGGACATAAAAGACAAGCAAACGTTTTGGGCACAAGCCCTTTTTCAATGCAAAAAGTCAATTTTGCATTGAAAAAGGACTTGTCTTTTATGTCGTTAAAATAGATGAAGTGTGCATAAAATGTGCATCGAAGCAATTGGAAGCGCAGATCTCATTTTGTTCCATGTTTATCTGGTTTTCATTGCTGGAACTATGGTGAGAGGAGCTGCAGCTCGGGAGAAACTGTTTGTTTGTATCATTTTAAATCGTTAGGTATTGCAATTACCTTTTTCGTTGTTACCTTTTTACTAGTAGGTGGAGCTCAGCTAGGAAAGTACAGCCAAGAGGAATATTTAAGGGAGGTGAGTCACCTAAGACTGTAAGCTCGTTTGAGCAAGACCCTCTTCAACCTATTGTTCCTGTAAGGTTTTGTAATTGTCTCATTTATTGTTAAATCTCCACCTTTAATAATATTGTAAAGCGCTACGGAATATGCTGGCACTATATAAATACCAGTAATCTTATTAATAATAATAGTATAAAGTCTTCATTGCTATTAAAATCTGCGCTATTTCCAAAATGAAAAAAGACACACTCTTCACAACTTTTCAGCAAGCTAAAGGGCTTTAGGGGTCTGGAGTGTCTGCACACTGCTAATGGAAAAGTAAATGTCCCAGTGGGTCAGCCAAGGAACCGAGGTGGCTAAACCACTCGCAAATGCAATATTGGAAGTGAAGGGTCCGGGCATTTCAGTGGGGAATGCAGACTTTAATCCCCCCCCCCCATTTATTCTACGTTTAGTGACGAACTTAACTTTGAACACTTGCGTATGAATTTATCACAGCCCAATGAATGAAAATTCATTTCTGCAGTGTAGACTTTGCCAGAGGAAACTAGAGGCCAAAATAAGCAGTTTAAACTGAGTAAATCATTACGCTTCCACGTGCCACAAATAAACTGTTGGCATGTTCTAGATTTTACTGTAATTCAACGTTAACCTAGTGGTTCATTACCGATTAGTGATAAATATGCCACAATAATTTATTCTACTTGCATAATCATTAAAAGCATGTGTATATTGGATCTATGAGGTTTAAAATGCACCCCATAACAATGTAATCTCTCCCAGTTCTTTGCTATTTATTGGGGTTTCTGAGAAATGCAATAATAAAAATTCAGTGCAGAACTCTGTAGCCCTCTCTATACTTTATATCTGACTGTGAACTATTTTATAATTGTTTACATTTTTATTTGGTGATCCCACTTTTCTCTTTGGGCATTGCCTTTTGTTGTGCTCATAATGAATATTATTTTTTATAAAGCGCCAACAAGTTCCGTAGCGCTGTACAATGGGTGGACTAACACACACGTATTTGTAACCAGACAAGTTACACACAGGAACAGAGTGCTCAATGAGCTTACATGCTAGAGGGAGTAGGGTATAGTGACACAAAAGGTAAGAATAGGGTAGAAAAGTAGGTTGCTAGAATACTGTTCATTGAGGGATTATTGTTTTGATTACAGTTTCAGTAGAGGAATCGGGGTGCAGGGAGAGGCGGCTGTTCGTAGTTTAATTGATCTACTTTCCTAAAGAAGTGTGTATATATATATATATATATATATATTTTTTTTTTTTATTATTATTTATTTATTTTTTTTCAAAGATTTTTCTTGAAGGAGTGGACATTGGGTGAGAATCTAACAGAGATGTTAAGGGCGTTCCATAGGAACAGTGTAGCGCTAGAGAAGTCTTTAAGATGAGCATCAGAGGTAGGCGCACAAACAGAGGTTACGTGTGGGTGTCCGGCAGAGCGTAGGGGCCTAGATGGGACATATTTGTGTATCAGTGAGGATAAGTAGGTCGGAGCAGCATTGTGTAGAGATTTATAAGCAAGTATCAGGATCTTAAATTGAGTACTATATCTTACGGGAAGCCAATGTAGAAACTGACCGAGGAGAGGCGTGGGAGGTGCAGGCGGACAGGAAGATGAGCCTTGCCGCCACATTCATTATAGACTGTAACTGGGCAAGTTGGGAACACGTAAGACCACCGAGAAGCGGATTACAGTAGTCAAGGCGAGAGAGGACACCAGCATAGACAAGCACCTTTGCCGTATCAGGCGTTAAATAGGGTCGAAAGCACAATATTTTTGAGATGGAAGCGGCTCGATTTGGCGATTGATTGAACGTGATGGAGAGGTCGGAGTCAATGAGAACACCTAGGCAGAAAGCCTTAGAGGTAGTGTGGATAGTAGCGCCATTGACTTGGAGCAACACAGACTTGGGAGTAGCAACACTTGAGGGAGGGAATACCAGAAGATTTGTTTTGGACAGGTACAGTTTAAGGATATAAGCAGCCATCCAGTTGGAAATAGCAGAGAGGCAGTTAGAGACACGAGTCAATATGACATTATCTTTTTTTTCCCTCATGGTTTTATTTAAAACTCCTCCCCAACACTTTAAAACAAAAAAAAATGTATATTTTGGTGTGTTTGTTACAAAAGTGACTTCCTTCACTTTTCAACATCATCTAAGGCAGCGTTTCCCAATTGGTGTTCCGTGAGAACACAAATGGGGTTTCGCCAAAATTTCTAAAAACAAAATGGCCGCAGGCGGCAAGGGAGCAGCTAAAGGTAGGGATGCTGGGTGGAGTAAAAAAAAATGTGTGTGTGTGTGTGTGTGTGTGTGTGTGTGTGTACTTGGATCTGTGTCTGGTAGGGAGTTTGTATGTGTTTGTCAGTGAGTGTATGTGTAAAAACTTATGAGTATAAGTGCTCGATATCTATAATTCGTAGCAAATCACCAACAAGGGGTTCTCTTCATCCTTGTGAAGTGGATAGTGAAGATAACAGACCGGAGGTGATCAGCGCTTAAGAGTATACATACATACAATACCGATGATATATGAATCTATAAGTACAAAGCAAGAAACAGATTATAGTTCAGTACAGTAGATTTTTCCTGAATAGGTAAAATAAGTTATATGATGGGGGGGCGAACGCTGAGCCAAGCAGACGCATGCAAGCACAGCTCCTGCTCAGCATGAACATTAACGCAACCAAAAGTCACGAATTAGCCCAGAAACGTGATAAAAAAAAATTACCGGCAGGGAAATGAAGTCAAACTAAACAGTTTGATACCAAACCCGAAGCTACTGACGCCGGTCCGTCGAGATCTGCATTGAGGCCTAACGTGGGAGGCGGCCGATCTCCCGACGCAGGGACAGCACTGCACTGCGGCTCTTCTGTTCCCCTGCTACTACTCCCCCTAGGGACCGGTGGGGGTTATCCCGGTCCCCGCTTGAGACTCGCACTCACCTGTCAGAGTACACTGCAAGGCGCACAAGGTACCGAAGGTGGTCACCAGGCTGTATCCAGACCACGCTACAGCGGACCCAGGGCTCCAGCAATGGAGACTGCACTTTGAAACCCGGTTTGCCCAAATCTTCAGGGTATCTGGAGGCGACTACAGCGCAAGCCTACATCGCATAACAATTTCTTAATTCCTCAGTTTTTTTTGTTTTTATTTTATTCATATTTAAATTATGTTTCATATATAAATATTTGATATGAAATGAAAGCCCTGTTTCTCCTGAACACAATTATATGTAATATGTGTGGGTGTACTAAATATGAAAGAGTTGAATTATGGTTGAACTGATATATAGCACAAATTCCAGGTTTTGTTTACGTTTTGTTTTGATCACATCTCCATCCTTAAGGGGTTAAAATAATTTTTAACAAAGGCATTACCTCAAGTATTCTGAGTAAACAAGAATTTAATTACATAACGGTTACGCACCCAATTATTTATAAACAAAATAAAAACTAAAATAAGTTATTTGTGAGGACTATAATAATAGACTATTCCACAGCCCATGTCTGAGGCTTGCTCTGCCCCCCTTAACTTCACTTTAGACTGACTTTTAATTCACATGTTGGTGGATATCCCTCTAAGTGTATTGTATTTGGAGTCTGTTGCTGTTGTCTCTCATGCAAGAGCAACCAAATAGAACTTAACCAGAGAGAGAGCCAGAACATTGTGTGTCAATGACAATTATCTGATACATTAAAAGAACATTCCAAAAAAAAGTACTTACCTGTGGTTCCCTGTCCGCTGCCCCCTGCCTCTCTGCAGCCTCCAGGAGAGCCGGAAGCTCCTGTTGGGAGTTTCTGTTATCTATTCTGAACTAAGCCCTGCAATGCAGGGCCAACTCATTGGTTGACAGGGTCAGCTGATCGCTCCCTGTGTATATACAGAATTAAAACATGTTGTCTGAATCAATACAGGCTGTGGATACATATGTAAAAGATCCCACTAGTCAGATGTCATGATAGTTTCCATTTTTAAGGTTATTCGATAAACATTGTATTTTAGTGAATTAAATCCGAATAGCCACCCTTCGTCCTATACCCTTAATGGGGTATTCAGATTACCTCCTTCCTTTCTCTATCCACCCCTTCTCACTCCTTACTAGCTGAGACTGCGCATGCACTCTGACCTTGTCAAACAGTCTAGTCAAATGCTTCTCTATAAAAAGCATTTGATTGGACCAAGGAGAGGAAGTCAATGACACAGCATGACTTCGGGATGGGGAGTGGAATTTCCTAGTCCGGTGCTGGTTTCCAGGTACTTTAAAAATTTTTTTTTAGAAATGTGTTTTTCCTTGCATAAGAGGGCAACCTATTACATAGTGCCCAATAGGGCACTTAAAAAATATATATATATTTGCAAAACCGTGTTGGCGTAAACCTTTTAAGGCGAAAATAGCCAAACTAAAACCTGTTGGCTTGGTAAATTTCTCTCTAACTGTCCTGCGCTAAATTTGAAATTCCCTACAGTTCTCACTTTAGTGAATAAGCCATTGTGTGTTTGGTGTGTTAATCAAAATTGACAATCTAGCTTTTATTTCACTATGTATTAATTTACTTTCATATTTCCTCAAAGTTCTGGCCTTGCAATTTTAAGGCATAGAATTCTTGCAGAATAGGCAAGAAACACAGACAACAGTTCAAATGTTTAAGCTAACGTTTCTAAAATTCTTGATGTTGATGTAGGACTATTCCTGAGATGACTACTCCTCATCTGCACTATTTATTTATAATGTAAGAGTTTATGAACTTTGTAATGCTATATTATTTTCTAAAAGCTATTTAGGTATATTGTAGAAGAGACAGACACAAAATGTAAGCAGTGGTTATATTACAGGTTTAGACACTTTCAAAGGTGGACAAGACCATGCATTATTTTTAAAAGTATACTTTACAGACAGGGTACTAGGCAACTAATTGCCAGTGTTTTTTTGAATCTGTCTTTAGTGTGAACGCATTGTGGAAGAGTATGAAGACGAGCTAATCGAATTCTTTTCACATGAAGCTGAGAATGTTAAGGACAAGCTCTGCAGTAAGCGTACAGGTAATGATTCAGTCAATGGGTGATTGTTGGTTTTCCTTTCTACCTTTGTCCCCCATGCTATACCAAAGTAATTTCCTATTAAATGACAATACAGCACTGTCCAATAGTCCTGAGATGACTACTCCTCATCTGCACTATTTATTTATAATGTAAGAGTTTATGAACTTTGTAATGCTATATTATTTTCTAAAAGCTATTTAGGTATATTGTAGAAGAGACAGACACAAAATGTAAGCAGTGGTTATATTACAGGTTTTTTCAAAGGTGGACAAGACCATGCATTATTTTTAAAAGTATACTTTACAGACAGGGTACTAGGCAACTAATTGCCAGTGTTTTTTTGAATCTGTCTTTAGTGTGAACGCATTGTGGAAGAGTATGAAGACGAGCTAATCGAATTCTTTTCACATGAAGCTGAGAATGTTAAGGACAAGCTCTGCAGTAAGCGTACAGGTAATGATTCAGTCAATGGGTGATTGTTGGTTTTCCTTTCTACCTTTGTCCCCCATGCTATACCAAAGTAATTTCCTATTAAATGACAATACAGCACTGTCCAATAGTTTATTTTTCAGATTTTATCAATATCACTTCCTAGAATTTTTATTACGACTTGTTTGTGTATCTGAACTAGAAATCATCTCCTCTGGAATCTATTCCTAAACAATTCAAAAAATAAATAATCCAATATTTTTTTTTGTTTTTTTTTTTAAAGATCCCACAAATAGCAATTTGAGCTATCTGGAACAGATGATCTTACTTCATAATGTGTTTTGTGTGTTTGCCATATATGCGTATCCCCTATATATAACAAAATGTGTTTTGGGAGGTATAAAAATGACATGTAGAAATATACACTGCTCTATCCTGAGTGGAGACAGACAGAGTAGGTACCCGATGAATGCTGTCATTAGGTTCCATACACTGTCATGAAGACTCTTGTTATCAGAAACAAAGTTTGGCATTCTTTTCTGAGTAATCATCACTTCGGATTAACGTGATGCAATACAAATATAACTCCTCCACGGTGAAACACCCTTCTGGAAATATAGTAGATTACAGTAAATTAAAGCTAAACTTACTGTAGCTGGGTAGACATGCGTTCAGTTTTGACAAAACTATCAACAAGTATGTAAAGAAATGGGAAGTTCTTCTTCTTTAACGGACTCCTCCATTAGACTCTTTTAAATCATTTACTGGGTTTAAGGTTAATAGCAGAAGCAAGCAAGAAATTTTTTTTACCTTTTAACACATTTCTTTGTGATTGACATCATCGTGTCCTGAGAATCTCTAAGCAACATTTTAGCAATAATTCCACAAGCTAGAAATCCAGAGGCATTGATTGATAGGCTGTGTCAGAACAGCTTTCATTTAAAATAAACTCTAGATTCTTTTTGGTGTTAATATTTTTTATTTGTTATTTCATAATATTTTATAAACACAATACATTACAAACACACAAATACATTAAAATAATTATTAGCGCCTACCGGTTCAAATACAAAAATTAACATTACACATTTCTCAGAAAGAACCTATCAATTCACAAACATTACAGACATTAACATAACATTATCCCAGTCATCTTAGAAATTATATTTCATCTTATAGGAAGCCCATTCATTAATACCCTTAAAGGAAGGAAACAAAAGAGTATGTACTGATTGAATTGAATTAGAGTTTTAAGTTATAAATTGTAGTATGTCTTACTACTGATACCATGCTCACTCAAGTTTTATCAGATTATCTATCCACCTACTGTTCTGCTCTGCCTTTTTATTAATCCACTTAAGGCCCAGTTCCATTTTACATTGGAATACAATTTGTTTTGGTTTTTTTTTTTTTAAATTGGCCAGCTAACAGAAACATCCAGTTTCCAGTTTCTGGCCAGTCATAATTTAGTAGCTGAGAAGAAATGAGTTAACATTAATCCTTGACTAGGGTGTAAATCCGGCCAGTCAAGATGCAGAATTGCAATTTCTATTCTTTTATCAATTTTAAATTTCCCTAGAGCCTGCAGCTTTTCAAAAGTCATGTCCCATAAATTAACTGCAACTTCACAGTTCCACCACATATGTAAGTAGTCTGCCTCATCTTTATTGCACCTCCAACATTTATTATCTTTCATATAAGAGAACTTGGAAATTTTTTTAGGATCCAAATACCAAAAATGTATCACTTTATATTGAGTCTCCATCAGGTTCAAACAGTGTATGTCACGGCTGAATCTACTTATTGCCGCTAACCACTCTTTCTCGGAAATATGAATCTGTAGTAGTTCAGACCATTTATTCATATACTTATTTCTCATACCTCCAGCTAAACATGATATTAAAGCATATGATTTAGCCATTACCTTTGGAGTTATACATTCACAAAATATTTTATTTAGAATATTCATTACTTGATCTTCTCCCATCAAGAGAGAGTTTTGTAAGAAACTTTTTACCCTAAGGTAAGAGAACACCTCTTTACAAGGCAAATCATATTCTGAAATCAGATTTGGGAAAGTTTTCATCGACCCTGCTTTAAGTAAATCTGAGACCCTCTCAATCCCACAGCTCTTCCACGTAGTTAATGAAAGGTCTTGTATATTATTTTCCAAGTTCTTAATGCTAAGGCTTTTAATAATTTTATTCTTCCCTCCCACCTTACTCTTAAACATAGACCAAAATTTCCCAAGATGTCCAATAATAAGACAGTTCTCCGCTATTTCTCTCCAGTTGGGATAATGAATATTCCATAATAAACATGAGAGATCTTTTATTTGAGTTTGTTGACTCTCAATATACCAGCTTTCCTCCACAGCCTCTGGAGTTTGCATCAAGTAAATGTGGCTAATCATGTTTGCATGATAATAATTTTTTAAAATAGGCATGCCCAAACCCCCTTCCTTTACTTTATATGCCATATGTCGTTTATTAATTCGTGGTTTTTTACCGTGCCAGATAAATTTAGAAATACTCGTCTGTGCCATATTTAACCAACTATCTGGTATTTGAATAGGAAGATGTCTAAATATGTATAGCCATTTAGGAATAATATAGGCCTTTATCGCATTAATCCTGCCAATCCAAGATATGAACATGTTGTTCCAACCAAGAGTATAATTCATCTCCTTCAATACGGCCATAAAATTTATTTCCATTATTTTATTAACATTCGGTGCAATTTTGATTCCCAAATAATTAAATTCAGACTCTGTCCACAAAAAATCATATTTTAGTTGCATAGCTGCTTTAAATGTATCCTCTAAGTTAATACACATAATCACCGTTTTATCTGTATTTAATTTATAATTAGAAAATACTGAATACGCATTAATCACCTCCATTAAAGCATGGAGGGATTTATACGGATCCATAAGTGTCACCAATATGTCGTCCGCATACATACTGATCTTAATTTCTCCCTTAGAAATAGGATAACCCTGTATATTATTGCTTTCTCTTATCTTAATTGCTAATATTTCTATTGTTAATATATAAAGCAAGGGTGACAATGGGCATCCTTGTCTGGTCCCATTACCAAGGGGAAACCAATCCGCACATATGTTGTCCAATAGTTCTAGCAATAGGGGAACTATATAAAGCTTTAACTGCATTACACAACTGTTCTCCAAAACCGTATATTTTTAAAACCTGCATCATAAAGCCCCAGTCCACCCGATCAAAGGCTTTTTCTGCATCTAATGCAAGAATAACTAGTTCTTTATGTTCTTTTTTAACCAAATCCAAGATATCAACTACTTTCCTAATATTATTTACTGAGCTGCGTCCAGGGACGAATCCCACTTGATCTTTAGAAACAACTAATTCGACAACTTTTTTTAGTCTAGCAGCGATAATAGATGAAAAAATCTTGGTATCTGAATTAAAGATATCGGCCTGTAATTTTTTACAAATGAAGGATCTTTATTTTGTTTAGGGATAGGAAGAATATTAGCCGCGAGAAATTCTGCTGGACATTTGGCCATACTTATGAAATTATTAAAAGTTGAGGTCAGCTCCGTTGCAATTCTATTATTGAAGATTTTGTAAAAGGATTCCCTAAACCCATCGGGTCCTGGGGCTTTTTTTTTTCTTCAAATCATCAATGGCTGCTATGACCTCTGACACCGCAATGGATCTATCTACTACTTCCTGTTGTTTTTTATTAATAGTAGGTATATTAAGACCCTTAATAAAATCTGCCAATTTCCCTAATTTAGTATTATCCGCACTATTATATAATGCCTTATAATATTCATTAAATATCCGGCCTATATCATTAGGAGTTCTAAATATCTTATCTTATTATGTATTATTTTATCAATCCGATGCAAAGCTTGCTGTTTCTTTAGTTTATTCGTCAGCATTCTATCTATACGGTTTCTTTTCATATACCATTTTTGTTGTAATTTCTCAATATTATTAGCAATCCGATTCATATTTATTGCGTTAAGATTATTCTTAATTATTCGGATTTGTTCTGCCTTTTCTTTTGTTGGAATTTCTTTATTACTTTTTTCTAACTTATATAAGGAAATATACATATCTGCTGAATTATTTCTTCTTTTCTTGTTCTCATATGCACCTAACTTAATAAATGGCCTCTAATAACAGCCTTATATGCTAACCACCTACTCCCGGGAGCCGAGTCTTTATTCTCTGAGAAATAGAAGTCTGACATTTTAGCAATATACTCTTTATTTTCATCACTTCTCAACAATGATTCATTTAATCTCCACTGTCTAAAAATTTGTTTCTGGTTATGATGTATTTCCCAAACTATCGCGTTATGATCAGACCATATTATTGATTTTAATTAATACTTTTTTAATGGAGCTCACCAATGCTATATTTCCTAACAACATATCTATTCTAGCATAGGAACAGTGTCTATAAGAAAAATGCGTAAAGTCATATTCCTGGGGGTGGAAAATTCTCCATATATCATATAAAGCAGCCTTTTTCACAACAGTGGAAAGGGCTTTAGCTTTTTGTTGTAATGCTATATCTATTTTAACCCCTTTTTTCATTCTTTTATCCCATTCCGTGTCTAGGACACAGTTAAAATCCCCCGCCATTATGACCCTGCCTCTTGATATTTTATCTACCTTATCTACTATGTCCTTCATGAAGGCCACTTGACCCGAGTTAGGGGCATAGATATTAACTAGAGTGTATATCTCATTATTCAATTTACAAATCAGTATAATATATCTAGCCATTGGATCCGTTTCCTGATACAATACTTCCCAAGATACATATTTCCCAATCCAAATAGTTACTCCGCTCTTTTTTCCTTCCTTCAAGGATGCTTTAATCACAAAAGCAGTTTGTTTCCCAAGGTAATATTCCTTATTAGATTCCACCCAGTGGGTCTCTTGTATAAAACAAACCTGTATTCTTTCCTCCCTGATCAACTCTATCAAAGCCTTTCTTTTTTGTGGACTATTAAGACCCTGGGTGTTTAATGTGAGCATCCTAACCATCCTTACTATCCACTTCTATCATTATTTCTTCGATAACTGGGTTAAACAAACCAACACTTACAAACAAGAGCCTCTCCCGCTCTTTACACATCCCTACCCCATAGTCCTTAATCTTCCCATTAGGACTAACCACATGCAAACCCTGCATGTTCTCAGAAAATACTGAAACTACAAACTGTAGCTACTCTTAACTAGGTGAATCAGTCTGGCTTATCCCAATCGAGACAATATTATTAAAAGACCTATCTATTTAAACAGAAGAGCATCGGGAAGGAGAAGCAAAGCAGGGCAAAGGGAAAGCTGCCACTGCCACTTATTGTTAGGAGAACATCCTAGAAAGGAGAAGAAGAAAAAAAAAAAACCACCACCAACATATATATTCCTAGATTAACTATTATTATATATCAATTACACTCTTTCTACACCTTCTTATCAACCAAAGTGATCATTACATTAGTCATATACAATTAATTATATTTATATTGTGCTTAATGATTCAATCTATGAAACATCCCTTCTTATTAGTTGTTTAAACTCCACATCATAATTCTAGTGCTTACTAATCATTTATCTTATATTGATTAGTATTCATACTCATTATGTTTCCCTGTGACTTCCCAGATTCAATTCTGATACAATAACCATATATAGGCTCATGAATAATTTACCCCAAACCAACATGTGCTTATCCATCATCCATTTTACCTTCAATTTTCTAAGCGCGAACCCTTTATTAATTTCCTATGCACCTATACCACATTTAGATTATCATAGCACTTATTGCAGCCCTTGTGTTATCACACCAAAAAATCCCAATAACAGAAATTTCCTTTTATACTCCTTTATCTATCTAAATTCCCACATGTCTATTATTCATATCTTTACCATTTAATTATCAGTGCTTACTGCATTGTAACTATAAAATCCAATACTTCCTTAGCTCACCAAAAAAAAAAAAAAAACCCTCAATCGTCTAACTCCTTTTCTTCCATTACGGCACCTCCCCTCTACCACTCCTCCCTCTCTCTCTAACTCATTTTATATCATTCTTTTGAAGCCATATTACAGCCTTTTGGGGCTCGTCCAATGAAATTATATCTTTCCCTCTCGTCACTATTAACTTGACTGGGTATCCCCATTTATATCTTATCATATTTTTCCTAAGGATGTTAGTAACAGTTCCAAAAGCTTTTCTGTTTTGCCTGGTCTGCCAGGATAAGTCTTGGAATAATTTCAAATTCATATACAAGTATTGATCCTTATTTTCCAAATTTGTTCTATGCTTATTTAGAACTTGATCTTTAATCCAGAATTCAGATCATTACGTCTCTAGATACAGTCTCAGGCAATCCTTTGGGCCTAGGGAGACGATGGAATCTGTCCATTATTTTTATATTAGGCTCCATCTTCAGCCCTAACTCCTCGAAGAAATTTAATAAGTATTCCTCTAATTTTCCATCCGAAATTTGTTCGCTGATACCTCTAATCCGTAAATTACTCCGTCGGCTTCGATCTTCTAAATCTGATAGCTTTAGTTCCATCCCATTATATTTTTTATCCAATGATTCAATTTGGGATTTTAACTCCGCCTGCATATAATCCACAGCGTCTAATTTTTCTTCTATATTCACAATTTTCTGATTTAGTATACCAATTTCTGCTTTGATTTCTTGCACATTGGATTGTATTACTGAAGTCAATTTGTCACATAAAAGCTGTTGGCTCTTTTCCAATATTTCTGAAAATGTTTCTTGAAGCTCCTTACTAATAATTGCCTTCATTTCTCCCTCTTCTCCTTGAATAAACGACATACCCTCTTCGCCGTCTTTCTTACCAGGAGATTGTGTCACAAAAAATTGGATAGCCGTCTTAGCTCTTTACTTTCTTTTTTATCCTTTTTTAGGGATTTATTTTCTGGGTTTTTCTTGGAGGTCATTTTCAAATGACCAGCTTATCCCATTCACCAACAGCGATATTAAATAAGTATTCTTATAAGTGCTCTTATTATATGTCAATATACCTTACTTAATAAGATTTCGGTTTACCAAACCAGTAATGCCAGTAATATAGTAGGTGTAATAGATGGTTGTATATTAGGTATATTGAATATTAGCCAATCCTTACTGACAGAACATTCAGTCCCAGTAAGCAAGTAATCTTATTAGTCAGTTAATGCATATCTTATAGAAGATCTTCAGGGAAATGCAGAAATAACTTCCACTCCTCTATTATTACGAGTTTTAGGAGCTTAGGAGAGCAACCCAAAGGTCTCCTTATCACAGCCCACAGCAGGTTACTGCTTCAAATAAACAAATGCCCAGTCGTTTATCTACTTTATCAGTAGATTTGATCAGCCAGATCAGCTTACTATTGCAGCCGCACTCCCAGCTCACACTTCGTCTTCAATACACTTCCCTGCATTAGAGAGACATCCCTCTCGCCTGTCCCAATCTTTTTCCAGGCTGCCACCAATTCCTCAGACGCTGCCGCCATTCCTCACGCTGATCTGCCTTCACTCCGCTTCTCCTCTCGTGGGACTTGCTCAGACCGCGCCACCGGAAGCGAGCGTGCGTGCGCTATGTCATCGCTCCCGCCCCCCGGTTCTGAATAAACTCTAGATTCTTTGACCTTGATAAATGAATGTGCCCACTTTTTTGAAGCATGTTTAAATATTTTTAAGAGTAATTAATTTAATTCCCTGAAAGTTGCAAGGTTGGGTTGGGAGAACAATTTCCCTGAAAGTACACTTCGTCTTTGTTACCCAACTGAGAGCTTCTTGTTTTTCTTTGTTTTGGTTTTGAAATGGTGTCTCTGTCCTGGTGATACCTGCAGGCATTTTTTGTACAGTGAAAATTACCAGGTCATTGTCATGAACAGCTTCGTGGTGGACAGGATGCCATTCAACTATTTACAGGATGTGTTTTTGCATCAACATACTTTCTTAGTGTATAAGAACGGTATTTCAGTAAGTTTCTGCCAGACATGGCCTGTTGTACACTGATGCTCTTGAGGACCTTGTTTGAAGATTACTAATCTTTTATATTGGTAAGAATAATTTTGGGGATATTGTTTTATACTAATTTAAAGGGGGAATAATCATATACCAATACCATATAAATACATATATATATATATATATATATATATATATATATATATATATATATATATATATATATATATATATATATATATATATATATATATATATATATATATATATATATATATATATATATATATACACACACATACATATACAGGGAGTGCAGAATTATTAGGCAAATGAGTATTTTGACCACATCATCCTCTTTATGCATGTTGTCTTACTCCAAGCTGTATAGGCTCGAAAGCCTACTACCAATTAAGCATATTAGGTGATGTGCATCTCTGTAATGAGAAGGGGTGTGGTCTAATGACATCAACACCCTATATCAGGTGTGCATAATTATTAGGCAACTTCCTTTCCTTTGGCAAAATGGGTCAAAAGAAGGACTTGACAGGCTCAGAAAAGTCAAAAATAGTGAGATATCTTGCAGAGGGATGCAGCACTCTTAAAATTGCAAAGCTTCTGAAGCGTGATCATCGAACAATCAAGCGTTTCATTCAAAAAGTCAACAGGGTCGCAAGAAGCGTGTGGAAAAACCAAGGCGCAAAATAACTGCCCATGAACTGAGAAAAGTCAAGCGTGCAGCTGCCACGATGCCACTTGCCACCAGTTTGGCCATATTTCAGAGCTGCAACATCACTGGAGTGCCCAAAAGCACAAGGTGTGCAATACTCAGAGACATGGCCAAGGTAAGAAAGGCTGAAAGACGACCACCACTGAACAAGACACACAAGCTGAAACGTCAAGACTGGGCCAAGAAATATCTCAAGACTGATTTTTCTAAGGTTTTATGGACTGATGAAATGAGAGTGAGTCTTGATGGGCCAGATGGATGGGCCCGTGGCTGGATTGGTAAAGGGCAGAGAGCTCCAGTCCGACTCAGACGCCAGCAAGGTGGAGGTGGAGTACTGGTTTGGGCTGGTATCATCAAAGATGAGCTTGTGGGGCCTTTTCGGGTTGAGGATGGAGTCAAGCTCAACTCCCAGTCCTACTGCCAGTTCCTGGAAGACACCTTCTTCAAGCAGTGGTACAGGAAGAAGTCTGCATCCTTCAAGAAAAACATGATTTTCATGCAGGACAATGCTCCATCACACGCGTCCAAGTACTCCACAGCGTGGCTGGCAAGAAAGGGTATAAAAGAAGAAAATCTAATGACATGGCCTCCTTGTTCACCTGATCTGAACCCCATTGAGAACCTGTGGTCCATCATCAAATGTGAGATTTACAAGGAGGGAAAACAGTACACCTCTCTGAACAGTGTCTGGGAGGCTGTGGTTGCTGCTGCACGCAATGTTGATGGTGAACAGATCAAAACACTGACAGAATCCATAAATGGCAGGCTTTTGAGTGTCCTTGCAAAGAAAGGTGGCTATATTGGTCACTGATTTGTTTTTGTTTTGTTTTTGAATGTCAGAAATGTATATTTGTGAATGTTGAGATGTTATATTGGTTTCACTGGTAATAATAAATAATTGAAATGGGTATATATTTGTTTTTTGTTAAGTTGCCTAATAATTATGCACAGTAATAGTCACCTGCACACACAGATATCCCCCTAACATAGCTAAAACTAAAAACAAACTAAAAACTACTTCCAAAAATATTCAGCTTTGATATTAATGAGTTTTTTGGGTTCATTGAGAACATTGTTGTTGTTCAATAATAAAATTAATCCTCAAAAATACAACTTGCCTAATAATTCTGCACTATATATATATATATATATATATATATATATATATATATATATATATATATATATAATATATTACAATGCTCAAAAAAATAAAGGGAACTCAAAAATAACACATCATAGATCTGAATATTGTTCTGAAATACTTTGTTCTTTACATAGTTGAATGTACTGACAACAAAATCACATACAAATTAAAAAATGGAAATCAAATTTTTCAACCCATGGAGGTCTGGATTTGGAGTCACACTCAAAATTAAAGTGGAAAAACACACTACAGGCTGATCCAGCTTTGATGTAATGTCCTTAAAACAAGTCAAAATGAGGCTTAGTAGTGTGTGTGTGTAGCCTCCATGTGCCTGTATGACCTCCCTACAATGCCTGTGCATGCTCCTGATGAGGAGGCAGATGGTCTTCTGAGGGATCTCCTCCCAGACCTGGACTAAAGCATCTGCCAACTCCTGGACAGTGTGTGGTGCAACGTGACATTGGTGGATGCAGCGAGATATGATGTCCCAGATGTGCTCAATTGGATTCAGGTCTGGGGAACGGGCAGGCCAGTCCATAGCATCAATGCCTTCATCTTGCAGGAACTGCTGACACACTCCAGCCACATGAGGTCTAGCATTGTCTTGCATTAGGAGGTACCCAGGGCCAACCGCACCAGCATATGGTCATACAAGGGGTCTGAGGATCTCATCTCTGTACCTAATGGCAGTCAGGCTACCTCTAAGGAGCACATGGAGGGCTGTGCGGCCCCCCCAAAGAAATGCCACCCCACACCATTACTGACCCACTACTAAACCGGTCATGCTGGAGGATGTTGCAGGCAGCAGAACGTTCTCCACGGCGTCTCCAGACTCTGTCACGTCTGTCACATGTGCTCAGTGTGAACCTGCTTTCATCTGTGAAGAGCACAGGGCGCCAGTCGCGAATTTGCCAATCTTGGTGTTCTCTGGCAAATGCCAAACGTCCTGCACGGTGTTGGGCTGTAAGCACAACCCCCACCTGTGGAAGTCGGGCCCTCATACCACCCTCATGGAGTCTGTTTATGACCGTTTGAGCAGACACATGCACATTTGTGGCCTGCTGGAGGTCATTTTGCAGGGCTTTGGCAGTGCTCCTCCTGTTCCTTCCTGCACAAAGGTACAGGTAGCGGTCCTGCTGCTGGGTTGTTGCCCTCCTACGGCCTCCTCCACGTCTCCTGATGTACTGGCCTGTATCCTGGTAGCGCCTCCATGCTCTGGACACTACGCTGACAGACACAGCAAACCTTCTTGCCAAAGCTCGCATTGATGTGCCATCCTGGATGAGCTGCACTACCTGAGCCACTTGTGTGGGTTGTAGACTCCGTCTCATGCTACCACTAGAGTGAAAGCACCGCCAGCATTCAAAAGTGACCAAAACATCAGCCAGGAAGCATAGGAACTGAGAAGTGGTCTGTGGTCACCACCTGCAGAACCACTCCTTTATTGGTGGTGTCTTGCTAATTGCCTATAATTTCCACCTGTTGTCTATCCCATTTGCACAACAGCATGTGAAATTGTCACTCAGTGTTGCTTCCTAAGTGGACAGTTTCATTTCACAGAAGTGTGATTGACTTGGAGTTACAGTGTGTTGTTTAAGTGTTCCCTTTATTTTTTTGTGTGTGTGTATAATTATTATAACTATGTAACAACATTTTTGGGAATCAAGGTAAAATGCTACAGCTTAAAGTGTTCTAGGTTTAGAGTAAAACCACATTACATTGCAACATTTTGACTTAAATTCCCAATATTAATTTTTCTTTTCTATGTTTATACAGATCTGTGTGATCATGCTGTGCATATAGCTCACGATGAACTTTGACCAACTGTGATTCCATTTATTCACTTGGACCAGGATGCTTCTCATGTTTACAAAGGAGTCGATAGTGGGATATAAATATAAACTATGTAGCACAATGTTCCCTCCTATGTTTTTTACATTAAAAAACAAAAACCTATTTTGTACATTTGGAGAGTTTTGTGTTTTAATTCTTTACATTTCCTAACCAGGGAACACCTTCTCCAGCATCACTGTATTGAGACTTGATCCAGACATTGTTTTATTGGAGCTATTAACTTTCATCATCCTGAAACTATGTATTTCTACATTACTTCTGTGTATGAACTCTTCAAGAAACAATTTTCTTATCAAGATCTTCATGAGACACTGTGAGGTCGGAGAGTGCTGCTCTATAGGTTAGATACACCTCCACAATGCAAGAGAGCTTGGAATTTTCTGTTCTGTCCTTGGATATCTTCAAATCATTTGTACTTGTTTTATATTTATCATAATAAACTGCAATTAATATTAAAAGACAAAACGTGAATCTAAAATTTTCTATGAAACAACACAGGACATATTTTACATTTTTTCCGAAGTAGTAATGAGGCCGTCCAGAGATACCATAAAAGTAGTCAATCAGGAGAGTGACTGGTAGAGGGTTGAGATGTGTGTGTGTGTGTGTGTGTGTGTGTGTGTGTGTGTGTGTGTGTGTGTGTGTATGTGTATGTTAATAAATAAAAAAAAAAAATATATATATATATATATATATATATATATATATATTATAATATGTTAATGCATTGCTAAACACAAATACACACACCCAGTAAAGCTTGCTTTTCCCACAGAAATATCACTTTAACAGTGTTCTCACTACTGCAAGGGATTCTGGGTAGGTGTATGCAAATGAGCTCAACAAAGAACCACATTTACATCATAATGAGAGCACTGTTAAAGTGAGATTTCTGTGGGAAAAGCAAGTCTTATGGCTTAACAGGTGTGTGTATATTTGTGTTTAACAATGTATTAACTATCCACTTCAGATAGAAGGGGTTTTCATCCACATTTTTCTTTGGGATAATTGGTTCGGAATAGGAAGGAGGTGAGTATTTTACCCATAAACCTGTATCAATGACTAGCGTAGCAGTGTGGGAGAGGAAGTTCATTGTAGTGGTTATAATGGTAGGCAGGGCCGCCATCAGGGGTGACAACTTTCTTTCTCTGCACACATATATAACGAATATCGCTATCTATGTGTGCAGCCGCGGGCCCCCGGCTCCCTGTTACCGCAGAGGGGGCCCAGCACACAGCTTCCACTCTCTTCTAATAACGTTCGCGAGACCCAGTTACCATGGCAACGCTCCGCGGGTCTCGCGAGCGTTATTAGAAGAGAAGAGTAGAAGCTGTGTGCTGCCTGGGCCCCCTCTGCGGTAACAGGGGGCCCCCTGTGGCGGAACCAGCCTCGACACTGGGCATTGGAGAAGACTGATTGTCCTGCCATGTGACTATGGCCCCTGGGATGTATTGCCTGCTCTCCTGTAGTGCTGAGGATTGCTACCAACTAGGTTGATTTGGCTATGGAGCTTGTGTAGTGCCCTCTGTTGGTAGCAACTGTAATATGCACTACCTGAATAGCAAGACTGGTAATTTGCATATTTGGGTAGATTTGCATATCGCTAATTCTGCATGCAGGAGAGACATTTTAATTATGGTCTTCCCCATCCATTTATAAATATGTAATTATGTTATAATAAGTCACTGTATGTTGCTTGCTATGATTTTTATTGAGTTTTCTCAGCAATGTTAATGTAATGACCATATGGGCTAGTCCCAAGTAAAATACATTTTTTGACAGTTCTACTTCACCCTCAATTTGTAGTGCCGTCTCTTATTAGGGGAATCTGCTACAAGGGATTGCTATGCTCTGCATACTCTCTTGCTATATTTACTGCTAAGTTCTTGTAAGAGCTTCCTGTCCTGCTCTCTGACGGAGTCCATGGTGTCAGCTGGAGTACTTGGAGTCCTCGGGTAGCGCTAGGAGCATCCTTCAACAGAGGTGCCCACTCGGGATGCCCGTCTATCCGTTACACCCCCCATGCCACCGGACCACCAGGGATGGAATCTCCCTCCTCCCTGGACAAAGGCAAGAAACGGGGGGAATAACATTTAATTAATTTAATATACACTAACACAACACACACTCTCTGCATTCGCTACTCATTAACACACACTGCATTCGCTACACTAACACACACTCTCTGCATTCACTTCCACTAGACACACCACATTCAGTCCTGCATCATTGTCAGCGGACTAGGTAGGGCGTGGACGGGAGGGCCAGACCTTGTGCTTTGTCAGAGGCCCCAAAATTTCTGATGGTAGGTACCCTGGCACCATAACCCAGTAAGTGGGCAAGCCATGTTACGAGGAGCATTGGATTCCACCATCACTAAGGAGGCCATTCTCTGTGGCGAGGAGGTGGAGAGGTAAACAGCATGGATGGATCCTCGGCACTGAAAAAGGTAAGAAAATACTTTAATTTTGAAAAAACATTTCGAACAAACAAGTGGGCGTCTATTTAGGGAAACCGATATTATAGCATTAGTAATACAGGTATGTTATTGGACTTTACCATAACTTGAATGTTTTTACTTGGGTTTCATTTCCCCTCGTCAGTTATTTGGTTTTAACCCCTTAATCACACGGTAGGCGTGCAGTGTAAATCTATTATCATGCACTCAGTGAACAAAGACAAAGTGCACATCCTTGGCTAAAAGTTATTTTTTTTGTATTCTAGTTTTATTCAGGTAATGCAATACATACTAAAGTAGCTATTATGTTACAGTTACAAATTGTTATTAAGAAATGTGACTCCACAATGACACTGTAAGTACAATTTAAAGTAGCAACAGATCAAATTAGAGCATGTAATCTCCTTGTTTCCTTTCAGTGAGTTCAAGTCTATATAAGTAAAAATAAACTCAAACTAGAAAAGCTACAATTTCTGGGGAAATTGTGTGAAGTGTTCTTGCCTCCACCAGTAGTCTACAACTGGAATGGGCGGAGTAACTGGGTGGAGTGGCTTGAGTAACTGCTGTGTGGTTGGAGTGGCTGTAGTAACTGTGGAAAGGTTGGAATGTGGTTCACTCACTCTACAGCAAGGGCAGAGAAGAGCTTTCAAATCCCTCGAACATTCCACCAACTGCCAACAGGAACTAATAGATTCCAAATAGGGCAGAGAAGGGCGGTTAAAAACAAACTGCTCTAAATTGCTCACTTCACTGGCGGTTGCCATCTTCAAACGGTCGTATTTTACAAACTATAAATCCTACAGTGAAGAGCTTTATATTGTGAGAATCACAAGACCCAGACCTACATTTTGATGCACAGTATGTCTCTGAAATATTAAAAAATGAAGGCACAGTCGCAGTTTAGATATTGCCCTTCAAATTTTAGGTGGCTAGAGTGGCGTTTTAATGGACAGCGTGAGTTGCAAACAAATGGTCATATTGTGAAACCGATCAGGACTATGGCTTAGCCGTGGACATTTTTAGTGGCAGCAGGGATAGCTGAACGTGTTGATATACGATTTGTGTAGGTGGGCTTGAAAATGAGGGAGTAGTGGCAATTTAGAAATCATGTCCTGATTTTTCAGCTTTTGCCAGCTCCCACTCTAGCTTTGAACATTTTGCCATTCATTCCTATGGGACCAATTTCGCCACAAAAACGACGATATTTTGTGAACCATTTGGCGAAACGTTCCACAAATTATTACGGTGTATGTAGTGTAAAAACTGTGGGAGGAGTTAGGGTGGTAAATTTGGCTATAATAAGAATAATATATGTGAGATAACAGTAAGTGGTCTTGCTATGCAAGAACACTTGATTAAAAACTTTTATGAAAAAACACAAAGCTATCTAGAGTACAGATAGGGGTGGAGATCCCTAAAGGAATAAGTGAAAATACAATAGTAACAGATGGTACATCACCTGTTACGTGTTGTGGGAGTGTGAGGAGGTGGTGTGTGTGGGCTTGAGTGAGGAGATGAGAGATCTCAGAATAGTGCAAAAGTGTCGGACAAGGATAACAGGTTCATCGCATATCTGGCACCTTCTGTCCAGACCTGCAGTAAGAGACAACAGAACCACAAATGGTCTGCAGGAAAGATAGGGCATTTATAACATTGACCCATGTGTGAGTTTTCCATTTGCATTTGGTGTAGAGAGATGTATTCACAGTGTCAGATTTTGTAGGCCATCTCTTTATGAGATACCATTAAAATCATTCAAAAGTTCTTTTGAAGAGTTAGCCTAAAATTAATCTTCGAGATTGGGTTACTCCTGTATTTCTCATAGGTCAGACATCCCAGCTTTCTGGAGACATTGAATCCTTATTACTGTTTGACTGATTTTGTTATTATTGTCCATTTGAAGTGATCCTAGAGATGTCTGCTTCTACATGCTAATATGGTACAATTTATTATCAGGTAATTGTTTTTCCTCTAACCCAGTTTACATTTCTCACATGATTCAGGGGATTGGAATGCGCTAAAGAAGGCTTGAGGTGGAGAAATACATTTTATTTATTTTTTTTAAAGCATATCGTTTCCTGTGTTGATTGGAATAAGGTCAACGTTTGGGAGCTTTGGAGAACAGCCTAAATGTCACATGACTAGGGATCCTACTTGTAGTTATTTTTCCTGTCCTATCTACTGTGTGGAACTAAAACCAATTTAATGTGAGGGAAAAAAGTATTTAATCCCCTGCTGATTTTGAACTTTTGCCCACTGACAAAGAAATGATCAGTCTATAATTTTAATGATAGGTATATTTTAACAGTGTGAGACAGAATAACAAAAAAATATCAAGAAAAACGCATGTCAAAAAAGTTATAAATTGATTTGCATGTTACTCCTCATTTCCATCTGATCACATTCCCAAATACCTACAACATAGGGTGCGCATACTAAGTCAGAATGCCCAAGACCCAAAGTGCCTGGAAGGCTGTGCGACAGACCTGACTTGTTTGCTCCACTAACAAAAAAATTCTAATTGGTGGAGAAAAGGCTGCATCCAACGTGGCATTTGCTATGTTGTAAACATGAACACTAAAGCCATTTTACTAAAAATGGAGCCAAAATGGAGCAATCTAGCTGTAACAAACTCTGAAAAGATACTAATGGGTTGGTTATTATATGGCAATAGGTTCGTATCCAGGGACCTTGGACTTTCCACAGAGTGTCCAAAGCAATCTCACAGCTTGGGCACTGGTGCAAGAACTTGGATCTCATATCTTTACCTGTGACAGCAATCTTTTTTTAACCCACATATTGAACTATGAATATGCTGTTTCTGTAGGCATACATCTCCAAGTTTGCAGATTAATAAAAATAATTTAAAAATTAAAAAAAAACACAATGTTTTGTAACCCCTTAATTGGTTTTGTTCTGTTTTGTTTATGTTGAGAAAACCACAACATAGTGAATGTAACTGACTGAATAACAGCTTAAAAGCAGTCTTGATGGTTGGAAAATGATAATGTCACTCATGCCATATTCTTGTATCATGCATTCACAATAAAAATGGATTGGGGGAAAAAAAGACACAAAGGCAAGCAGTATCCCTCTCTGATTATTTTTCTCTTCCCAACCTTTTCTT